TGCAACCGGCGTCAGATCCCATTCCCTCCGAGCAGCTACTGAGGCCTCAATGGCTTTATTTATCAGCTCCTATACACACAAACCAGACCAAACGACGACGCAAAATAAAACCTGAGGTGTTCAATTAAATCTCCCGTATTTTGATGCTATAATTTACACCAAAAAGATACTGTACCTTATCAGCGTAGCAGAACTTGGACACTTTGTGAGAATGGTTGAAGGGCTGTGAAGAAAAAAGTAGCTAATTAATATAGTATCACTAACTAAACGAATGATTTAATAGACCATTTTACAAGATGTAAACACTACTGGTCCAGAAGCACTTCCTGTTTCAGTTTGTAACTGTTTTCTTTATTTCACATGTAAAGAAAACATCTTAAAGATGTTTGTTTAACTTTTTGATTCAGTTTTATATGTTCTGTTGGTTGTATTTTATTCCAGCTTTTATGTAGTGTTAAAAAACTGAAACAGTTAGTGCTTCTGGACCAGTGTTGTTTACATCTTGTGAAATGGTCTATAGAACAATAACTCAATATCTATATACATGTATGATGTACATCAATGTAACATAATTATTTAAATTGTGAGTTAAAAACTGGCCTGTGATTGTATAGTGGCAGAGAGAAGTTAATATAATAAATATTGACGTAAATTGAAATTCTTTTATTTCAAGTGCAATAGAAAAATATGATAATAATTGGATCTTAAATGTTCATTTAAATGTATGTTGTTGTGCATGGCACAATATTAATAATAAACGTAATATTTCATGCTGTGATGAACTCCAGCGGTACCGACGACTAATTTACTGTAAAAGAGCTACAGATCACATGTTCGTACAGAAACCAGAGGAATGATTAACTCACAGACAGCTGGTATCTGATATCTTTGGTCCACACTTCTTCATTTCCAATCACACATGGAATCTCTTCTGTCTTTCCCTTCAGGTTTTGTAACGCCTGATGATCAAATTAAAACAGAGACGGTTAGTCAGATATGCAGCTTCAGTGTGTGAGAACATCCGAGTCAATGTGTGTGTGTGTGTGTTTCACCTTCTCCAGGTCTGATCTCTCTTTACTGCCCTCTTTAAACCCGAGCACAGGCTCATTCTTCACCTCCACAGCTGCGCACGAGAAGGTCTTGAACCTGCAGAGAAACAAGCTTGCTGTTATCTAAGTCTTTAATATTTCTCAGTGAATCCGTGGGCTTCTTCTTTAGTCTCGTTTGGTCACGCAAAACACAAGCCTTTCAATCAGTAACTTATATAAAGTCATCTAGACAGAATGGCTTCAAGAATAACTTGTTGTAAATCCATAACAGGAGACAATTGGGTCACTTTAGTTTTTAATGCGTCCAGCTGAAAGACAGCTAAAATAATAAATATTATTTAAAATAATATCACTATGTTAAAAACGTATTAAAACACTTGTCGAAATAAACAAAAAATAATTTATAAGTATATAGTTCCAGTCAAAGTTTGCAAACATTCATATATTTTAATTTTTTTTTTTTAAGGAAGTCTCTTATGCTCATCAAGGCTGCATTTATTTGATTAAAAATAGAGTAAAAACAGTAATATTGTGATTATTACAATTTAAAATAATGGTTTTCTATTTTTATATTATTTGATTTCTGTGATCAAAGCTGAATTTTCAGCGTCATTACTCCAGCCTTCAGTGTCACGTGATCCTTCAGAAATCACTCTAATGATTATTTATTTAATAATCATATCTTTCGAAACATTTCTTTGAATACATTTCTTTATTATTTGAAATGTAAAAAAGAACTGCATTCTTTTGTAACTATATACACTACAGTTCAAAAGTTTGGGGTCAGTAGTTTTCTATCTGTCTTTAAAAAAAAAAAGAAATTAATACTTTTAACCAGCTAGGATGATAAATTGATAAAAGTGATAGTAAAGAAATGGTTCAGTGTTGCAATGTTTCCTTTGTATAGTCTTTCAGTATGTGTATTATGCTTATGAATAGCTTGATCTACAGTAAAAACAATGAGAGGCACTTGTGTAAATAGAGCTCAGCAACCTAACAGTGGGACGACAAGTTTCTTGAGCCATTACATTACATAACACTGTCTGCCTGCCTATTAGCACGTAAAACGCAAACCTACACACATCACATGATAATGCACAAGTATACGATTATAATTTTCAACGCACAGCATGAAAAATGTCAAATAGGCATTAAGACTCTCTCAGAGTGAAAGTCATGTGTAAGTCCATGTGCAATCGCATACATACCCCTTCCAAGACTGACAGATGACAGATCTCACTCGTAGCATGTTTAATCTGGACGTACAGGGGAAGGAGAGATCTCACATATATTACAAATAATATATATATATATATATATATATTTATCCTTTTGCTGAGGAACTATAGCGCTAAAGTAGTATTATAATACTTGTACTACTCTCCAAGATCACAGACGACATCACATGAATGGAGAACTACCACTTCCGGGATAGGGGGGATATCATGACAGGCGAAATGTGTTGAGCTGTTACATTTCATAACATTTTTTTTCTCATACAAATAGACACTGGTGATTAACTGTTTTATTTAAAATAGTAAAGGTACGTTTACCGGCTTATTATAAACAAATATATAATAAATTCAAGTTAAGCGGCGCCCCTGTTGTTCATAAATGGGACAGTCAAGAGGGCGAATCTCTCACTAGCCAATCAGCTTTCGAGACGTTCTGCCCCAAGTAAAACATGAGTCGTTTTTCATACTATTTATAAAATATTAAAATGTTACGCTCATTTGCAAATATTGTTTTTTTCCGCAGTCAAAATTAGGAGTTTAATCAGTACATAACTAAATGTTTAAAAACACACACAGACACACACATATATAAGTAAATAAAATATAAAAAAATATATAAATATCAAATAAAGTCTAAAATAAAATAATTAGTAATTTAAGTACATTCAACACATTATTTCAACACAGAAACATTTGATTCAAATGAAAACTATTTAAATGAAAACCGATTCCGCTTGATTTGTCATGATCACAGTAACAGTGATGCAAAAAATTTTTTTTGTCTCAGTATCAGAGTAAATGCACTCAGTTGTAGACAAGCAGCAGTAAGGTAAGTCACAATTAAGTATTTCTAAAACAACTAACATTAGGGCTATTGTGTCACGCTGGTTTTCATATGACGTCACGCCACTGCGTTGCCTTGGCGCGAAATACAAATGGAGGGCAAGAAGTGATTTGCTGTATTTCACTGTAACAAACTCAAAATGCCTGTGTTTTGAGTCATTTATAGTTACTTGAATCGATCAAACCACGAGGAGTTTTTATCGTGTACCAAAAGTTGTTGTTCATAAGCGGGGAAAATGCAAGAAATTGATCGAAAAACTGGAAAAATGGCTTGCAAACCTATGTCTGCAGTCAGGAGGATCCGAATGGGAAAATGGACATGTGTGTGTAACGTTAGTGATCACTTCGTCAAAGGTGAGTTAATACAACTTAAGTGACTGTTTGTGTAACGTGTAAAGTTTCCGAACTTTGTAAAATCAAAGTATGTCTGTAAGAGGAGTTGCTGATATACACAGCCTCGATGGCAAGAAAATATTTCAATTCAGTTGAAAAATCGCTCCACTTCATAACATAAGGATCACGTCCAACATATGTTTGATTTTTTTGTTTATTTATTTTTCTTGTAATAGCGTGTAAAGTAGTACAGTACGGACTTTCCTTTTTTTTTTTTTTTTTATTCTAACCAACAAAGTCAATATACAGTCAGAATTGCAGTACGGACTTTCCTCCATCACCCTGCATCTGAATTCCGCGCGTCATCATGATCACGTGACTGAAACCCTTTTATGGCGCGGCTCGCTGTGGCGCGAGTCGCGAGAGATCGCTCAGTCAGTTCAAGCGGCAACCGATCATCTCTTCCTCTTTACCAGTGATGCGCGGGTCAATGTATAAACAAACCGCAACCGACCGACGTTTTCAACTACCCGCCCGCAACTCGGACCGCAAAAAAAAGTAAAAAAAAATATTGTACCCGACCCGCTTCCTGACCGCATTTTTTAAAAGTAGTAAATGCTCATCGGAGCGTTATTGGGCCATAGACGTGTAACAACACAGCATCACAAGAAGACGTAGGCCTGGCCTACACATAAAGGCAAAGCCAGCACTTTGGTCATCATATTTCATTATTTCAGCAAATGTCTCCCACACTTTTACTCTTTCTATTTGTGTATTTGCGGAGCTTCCACTCCCCAGTCTTCACCTTTTCTCTTGCCGCCTGCATCTCTCTGCAGACTGTAGTGATCATAGACATGGCCGGTTCGTGAACGAATCGTTCTTTTGAACCGGTTCTTTTTAGTGAACCGGTCGAACCTACACTAAATCGAACTGAATCGTTCGAAACAGTTCGCGTCTTGCGTCAATGCTGATCCACAAGTTAGTTACTTACTTTCAGACATGCCTGACAGTCGCCTCCGAATCAAAATAAATCAATATCCTGAATTATATTTTACTTCAGTAACTCCAACAGTTCACTGAAACGAGACATGTTGGTGCCACTGTTGAGAGAAGTGCAGCACGAGCACGAGCAGCTGATACTGCGCATAGATACTGCGTACTACCGAACGCACAGGGACAGTGGTTCTCGAATCACTAGTATAGAACCGAGAACTGTTTAGACTGAGCTTGTGTGTTATCTTCGTGCCAGTTATTCAGCCAATAATGTGTAGGGCTGTATATTTCATCAAAAATTGTGTCTAGTACTAATACAAATGTTTGGCATCTTTTTCAAACGACCCGACCGACCGCGACCCGAATATCATTAAAAACATTTTTGGATGACCCGTAACTGCGGGTAACCGCGGGTGACCGCAGGCACCCGCTCATTTCGGATCAATCCGCGCATCACTGCTCTTTACTACTAGATAAAATACCAAATAAACATGAACCAACATGCTGAAAAATACCAAAATCAATATCTCATATAATCATAATATAATGTCTCATATAATCGATCAATCAAACCGCGGAAAGACGTCAGTAAAACAGTTTGTTAACAATGTCACTGAACTTTACTTTTACCTCAGAAAAGGCATTCGGTGTAAATATTGAACTTTGGCAAGAACACATGCTCTTCTATATGTGAAAAGGTAAATAGTAGCACAATACTAGTGCTCAACTACTGTCCAGTGCTCAGGTAGCATATTAAGCCACTATTGTGTTGTTTTGTTTTGTAGTTGAGCAGCAGCGGTTTATGCCGTTATGAAGAGAAAGCAAGGCTTAGTGAAGAAGTTCCAGTCTCTAAACTCGTCTAAAAGGCCAGTTTCTGAAGGCTTTCTAGTCAGATGACCGCTGGATTCAGAGACCAGAGTGCTAACCATTACACCATGGAACCTGTCCAGGAAAATCCCGTGAAACGAGGCAGGGCTCGTCCGGGACTCTTTCACCCCAGGAGAATCAAATCCCTTGACCAACGAGCCACCCCGGGCTTCAGGTAGGCTACTTTCCATTGCAAATAATTGGCAATACTGTAGTTTTTACGTTATGTGCTTAATACCTTTGGCACTTTAATGAAAAATAAACAAAATAGTGCAGTGAATTCAGTCAGACAAATCACTGAATAATAAATAAATTATATTTATAATACAATTTATTTCTATAATATTTACGTCTCATTTTTTACTTTTTGGTTTTCATTTATGCATGTTATTATTATTTGAAATCACTTTTTAAAAGTAAAGCACTTTCAATAACCAATTAAATAAACTTGTCTGTATATTATCGAAATGAACACAGTCTACATTCATGGCCATCATGGCATAAACGCTAAACAAATAATTATTTTGTTAAACTTAGTCATAATGAACAAAAGGACCTCAACAAAGCAAATGAATCAATTATGTTTATTTTTCTGACCCAGCACCAATTACATTCATTTTTTTGAAACATACACCAGTTGCTCACACACCAGGAAAACTCATCTGCAGCGTAAACAAATGACAAAGAGAAATGCTCTAATGTAGGTGCACTGATCATTTCAGTTGTCAAAGTAGTTATAATAAAAAGAAACTTGTATACTATGAGAAGGATGCAGGCCACAGATGTTGCAAAAGCCACTAACTTACAGAAACTGTAAATCTGTTGTATAGCTTTCCGTGAAGCTCGCTGATGCTGGTATGGTGACGCTGATGCTCCACTTGCTGATAGGGGTCTAATGAACTGGTGTTTTATGCTCTATTACAAATTAAATCTAAAAGTAATTGTGCAATGTCACTGTATCAGCAGCTTGGCGGACAAAACCCGTCTTCAGAAAAGACCTAATACGGTCAAAGTGTACTATGATGTAAAATAAGGCTAACATGACCCAAAAGATCAAAAACATCCAGCGTTTTATCTTGTGTCTGATGGACTAAATAACATTTTCTATGAGCTCATCTGATAATATGGATATTCGTTGATAAAGGCATGATGTGATAAGCTAATGCTGCGTTTACCCTTCAAAGGAAAAACAGCATAATAGATGTACAGACAAAACAAAGGCCCAAAACACATTCTATGGAAATACGTGAATACAAGCGCTACACAAGCTCGATTTTGTGTGTTGTGCACGCTTATGAAAGTTCACACAATATAACCCCATCATTACAGTTTCACAAAAGTTTCATCCTGAATTTGCTGCCATTTTGTGCTTTTCTAAAAACAAACATCATCACAGGATTATTTTCTCATCCAGTTTCAATTAGAAAGCTCCTTGAATACAACATTCAAGTTCAAGCACAAAGATATTTACCAAATCATACCTTTGTTTTGGATACTTGCAGAGATGCTTCTCATTTGTCCTCTATAAAGACTATGAACAATGGAATTAAATCAGAAAACACGCAACATGCACTTTTTCCAATTCGCCTGACCTTGCGATGCTGCCCTTTGCCCATTTCTTTGTTCATAAAACATAAAATAGATTTTAACAAGAGGCATCTGACCCAGAAAAGACAAAAAATAGCTTAGTTTTCACCATAAACAATGAAAAAAAAAATAACAGACCAACAGTGTTTCAGTGTTTTGTGTTTAAAAAGGCGAGAACTCTGTGCAGGTTTTATTTTTTTCTAGCGAAAAGCATCCAAATTAGCCCTGGATACCCTGAACAATATAAAAACGTGAATTTTATACATTTATAAAATTCAAAAGCCAGACTTTATTTCATTTTTGATAGGTTTGGATATCAAATACACAAACCAAATTGCAAAATGCACAGATGATTTTTTATCAAACATGATTATCAGCTCTTTAGCTAATAAAATGAATGAACAAAAACAATGCCCCCAGCTTATTTACTACAAAATATATATTTTAAAAACCCTCTGCAACCATATTTTGAGCTTATCATTACATCTTTGAGCATACTCAAATGACTTATAAGGTTAATAAACCCATCAAATTTCCCCACATTTTTAGATTAATACAAGAACAATTTATGGATTTTAAAGATTAAAATGCAAAATATAAAGAGCCAAAAGACACCAAGCGAGACAAACACAAAGGCAGTTAAACCTCATAGATGAGCCATATCCATGAAAACAGATGCTGAATCTGTACGGAACAGCGGCCATCATGAGCGCCAACTTGTCCCATAATCCTTTGCATTTATAACTCTTGAATTTACATATGTTTATAGACATGGGTATGATTTCAGATAAACCCAACCGCAGCTAACAAAGTATGTTCTCTAAATGTGCAGTTAAAAAAAAAGTTCCATTTTGCAAACATTCAAGTAAATAACATTTAAAAAACTTATGTTTTTGTGCTAACATTTTGAGGAAATTATTAAAGGCCATATAACTTTAAGAAAAAGTTCTATTAACGTCACTGAAAGATCGTTTGCTCATAATTTCGAGAGAACCTTGCCAGAACGTTCCCTGTTGGCTGGGACATGGTCTATATACAATCAAAACCTCCACCGAAAATTAGCTAAAATTACTTTTTAGCCTTGCAAATACAATCATACAATCAACAAAATATATTTGATTATTTCCCTCATGATTATAATGAGTGCAACTATAAAAAGTAGTGGAAATGCAGTAAGGCCATCCAAAATGAACCTGCAATATTTACAGTATTTAGGCACATAGCTGTAACCCTTGAAAAAGCTTCAATCGTCATTGGTAGCAGCTCAAAATGATGTGACGCTGTTCCACAGATTCTGTGCGTAAACATTGTGAGGCCTGGGCAACACTTTAAAACACATGAACGTTGAACAAATCACCTGCGCTGCAAACAAAGGCAAATCATAAACGCAGATCACGAAATAAGGCCGATTGCATAGAACGTGGGCTTGTTCCACTTTCAAGACTGGGTTCGGGGCTTAAAAGGCCGAAATGTTTCCGCAGTAAACCGTCGATTTCAGAAATTGTTTTTAGAAAAATAAAAAGCCATAAATGTTAAGGAGATCATTGATCAGAGGGGGTTCAGTCCGCTTTGGTCTGATTGGCTTTCAGTCTGATGTGTCACTTCCAGTTTCTCAAGATATGGATTTGGGATCGATCAGGTGTATCGTGTGACGTATTTTGGCTGGGACTGATCCGATTCGTAGCAGAGTTGTTGCACCGTGTGACGCATCGATATTGATGTCAAGCACAAAAACAACCCTCGTTAACTCCGCCCCACTCGGACTCGGAGACGGTAAAGCACCTACAGGATTTTGGGTTTGTGGGAGTGGGCTCTGTCCCTCAGTATAAAGCCATTGGCCGATTGCTGGGTGGCCCGAGAGCTGATTGGAGCTCGTGGGGGGAAGAGGGCGGGGCCGGGCTGGGCAGGTATCAGCTGATTGGCCCCTCCGTCTCTCCATCCTTGTCTGACTCGTCTTGGATCTCGTCAGTGTTCCCTGAGTCACTGCTCGCGGTCGAGCTGATGGAAGGAGAATTTCTGAAGGAATGAGATATTATATGCAGTCACATTATATGATAGATAGAGTTGTCAAAAGTACAGACTTCAGACTAAAAGTAAGACTACAACAAGACTACTTAAGACTACAAAGTACAAACAGTAGTCATATTATAAGCTGTTATTGTCTGTATGATCTGTGAGATCACCTGCCGCCCTTGATCATTCTCCTGCAGGTCTCCATCTGCACGTCCAGCCCTCGCTTCAGGCTGCACATCTCCATGTACTCGTGCAGGTGTCTGTTCATGTCACTCTTAGCGGTGGCCAACTCCACCTGTGTGAGAGAGAGGACGATACTTCATCCCAGGCACCTTCAACTCAGTGATAAACGAAAAGAGGTTCAGACAGGGGGACAAACACAATCTTAACCAATCACAGACAAAAGAGAAAAACGGGCACTTTCGAACCTCAATTTGTCCGATTGTCTTTTGATATTCCTGCTCCCTGGTCTTGAAAAGAGACTCGGTCTCATCGATGAGACTGCCGAGACTGCCGTCCTGAGAGGCACAACAGAGAAACAGACTCATTTCACTTATATTTCCTCTCAATCTGCACAGATGTACTGAGAACGACCACACGATACACTACTGTTCAAAAGTTTTTGGAAAGAAATTAATGCTTTTATTCAGCAAGGATGCATCAAGAAGATTTCTATTTCAAATAATTTTTGTTCTTTTGAACTTTCTATTGATTTAAGAATCCTGAAAAGAAAAATCTATCATGGTTGCCTCAAAAAATCGGAAGCAGCACGATAGCAAATCAGAATGATGTCTGAAGGATCATGTGACTGGAGTAATGATGCTGAAAATTCAGTTTTGCATCACAGATGCAGCTTTTTTGATGAGCTTAAAGGGATACTCCACTTTTTTAGGGAAATAGGCTCAGTTTCAACTCCCCCAGAGTTAAACAGTTCAGTTTTACTGTTTTTGAATCCATTCAGTCGATTTTTTGATATTTAGAAGAATATCAGTAAACAGACAGTTTCTGGTCTCATTGACTTCCATAGTATATTTTTTTTCCTACTATGGAAGTCCAGAAACTGTCTTGTTACTGATATTCTTCTAAATATCAGAAAATCAGCTGAATGGATTCAAAAACGGTAAAACTCAAATGTTTAACTCTAAGGGAGTTGTAAAATGAGCCTATTTCCAAAAAAGGTGGAGTATCCCTTTAAGAGACATCTTTCAAAACATTAGGCCTAAAAAAAAAAAAAGTTTGGTTCCGGTTGGTTGTCAGTTGAGGTCATGGGTCGGTAGGAAATTTTTTTTTTTTTTTTTTTTTTCAGTGGCAGCAAGGGATGGGTAGGAAATTATTCAGGGCTCGACATTAAAGGGATAGTCAAACCTAAAAATATTAAAATTGAAACTACTGTGGAAACAAAGACACCTACATCTTGGATGCCCTTAAGCTAAAACATATCAAAAATTAATTTCAAAGTGAACTATCCCCTTAAGCCTTTTCACATGCTTGTCCTCCGGACAAGTAAGTAAATCTGTCAATCACTTGTCCGAGTAAAAAAGTTGCTTGTCCGGATTTTTACAATTTATTTATTTTTTATTCTGAAGCAATATTGTCATCAGTGTTCAATCAGCTTTGATATTTAAAAAGGCAAATTGTAATATCTGCACCTTTAAGGGCATCCCCTCCACCAATATTATTAAATGCCTTATAGTGTCTTATTATTCTAAATAGTTGAATTTATTGATCAAATTTAGGAATTTAAAATGAAAGATGAAGCATACTGTTACCCTAGGTAGGGCTGATGAAATTAAATCATTTACACTGAAAAATTACTATTTCATAAAATAATGTTATGAAATTGATTTAAATGTGCAAATAAGAAATATTGGAAAGAATTATACTAGGCTACTTATAAACACAACACTAAACTGCCAATAGGTGGCGGCAGGCGGCCGTATAAATGAGTGAGTTATTGATTCATTAATTCAAACGATTCGTTCAAACGGTTGATTCATTCACGAATGAGACGGATGTTGATGTTTATGAATGGGTCATTGAATCCTTGACTCAACCGATTCGTTCAAAATGCTGAATCATTCAGTAATGAAAACAGGATGAGTTCCTGTGAGATGCGTCGTGGTTCTGCTGTGACTTTTCTTTGGAACTATTTTCGCTGCTGAAATGCAACAAAAACACCCAGTATTGCTTATAAACAGTAAGTGACTTAATCTTAACTGTTTATTGAACTGTTGTAGGAAATCAATGTCACTTTTTCAATCGTGATGGTATTCAGGAAAAATAATTGAGGCTGCTTAGTGCTTAACATATGTTAAAATATAAAAACTCCACATTTAGATTTTTTTATAGGCAGAGTATGTTGTTAACTGTGTGTGTGTGCTCCGCTCATGTGTGTAGATTTCTCTGCGTGAGCGTCAACAGCGCAACTTTACCATCAGTAATACAGTAGCTGCTGCCTGCTACATTTATTATCCACAATCGATCGCAACTTGCAATAAATGTAATAAAATCATAATCATTCTCTCGGTTTAGTGATTCCCTAGTTATTTTTTTGTTTGTTATTGATGTTCAGGCTACTTGTCCGTTGGGGCGAGTAAAATTTTACTTTTACTTGTCCTTCAAAAATCCATTTGTCCCGGAAAAGCGGACAAGTTAGACGGGCTCTAGAGATACGAACCGCTGCAGGTTAGAGTGTTTTGGATTGCATAAAATAATGAAAGAAACGAACAAATACATGACGAAAGAAGTGCTAGACAGCAGAAGATGGGATTGGGATCATGATTGGATCATGATAGGATGATTTTTTTAATTAAACTAGGCGGATGGAGGTATTAGTATGTGGTGTGTGCATGCCTATGAATGCATGTATTTGTATGTGTGCGAATATGAATAAAAATATCCTAAATTACAAAAAAAGACTTGTATAATATGTATTATAGTTCAGTTTGACGAACGATATCTGCCTCGTTTGTTAATAGATTGCTGGAGGACAAGATGCATCTTACATCGCGTGCTATAAAAAGACAGAGCTGTACAAAAACGTAAATTAATAGTTCGCCTCAGAGTTTTTTATTTGTGTATTTATTTAATTTTTATTATTTCTTCCCCAAGCTCATAAAATAATTTTGGGTCGCACATAAATTGACAGGGTCGGTCGGAAACCGGAAACAAACAATTTTTTTTTTTACGCCTTAAAGGTTCACTATGTAACTTTTTTGATTAAAATTTACAACATTTAAATAACGAGTCGATACATCATCAATCCTTCATCCAAAATGTGTTTTTGTCTTACCCTGATTCACTATGGCAAGCCTATTGTAAGTGTTTTTAGACCGTTTTTTTTTTTTTTGTGGGAAATTGTGTACATGTGTCACTCGCCTGTGTGTCTCATCATATCTGTAAATAGATTACAGTTGCTCGGGTGCTTTGACGTGTGTCTGTTATGAGAGGTCAGAGGTTAGTTGTGTGTGTGTGAGGGGTCAGAGGTTAGTGTCACAACGAGTGAGAAATGTTGTCATTAGCCACTAAATCTCCAACCTCTGCAGAATCCCTCATTTTAAACAAACGCCGAACAGAGGAGAGTCTGCTGGAGACAGAGCTCGTAATAAAACAAGAATCAACATCGGCTCGGCTTTTCAGAGATGGAGAACTGAGGGATTTGAAATGTTGTCTGTATTGAGTTCATCTATTGTGAAGCTCATTTTCATCCGCAGTAGTGGTGTACATAGATGATATAACTCACCGTGTCGGGAGCGTCTCCGTCGCTGCTGTTGGTAAGGGCACAGGGTATGTTGTAGTTGGTGAAATCTTCCCATAGCAGAAGCGTATCGTCGTTCTCCTCCCACGTCAGACTGTCGCAGTCATCATCGACATCAAACGTCTCCCGCCTAGCAACAAATGAGTTATCTGAACAATGTCTGCATGCGAGGAAAAACAAAGGGACAGAAAAAGAGGAGAGAGAAACAGCAGGCAGTGAAGACAATCGCGGACAAGACAAGAGTGAAGCACAAAACAGGATGAAAAACATACATATAGACTACATTCACGAGTTTTCCCTCAAATATTCTTCCAGTAACCTTAATACAATGTTCGTTTAATGTTATCTGGGACCAGTTGCGTAAACTTAGACCCAGTTTGACTAACTAGCCGTTAGAGCCCGACCGTCCGATAAAGGATTTTGAAGGCCGATACCGATACAAATATTTTTGGGGTTTAAAATCCGATATTCCGATATATTGGCCGATATTTTATTTATATATTTATTTTTTTGTCATGCTTATTTAAGTTATGAGAACTGATGGGGATGTTCTTTTAGTTGTTATTCAAGCAATGTATGTCTCGTGACCAACTCAACGAGTGTTGCCAACAGGAACAGTGAAGAGCGCCCTCTGGTGGACAAACTATACAACTCCAACACTCATGACATGGTTCAAGCGTGTTTCATCCGTTTTTATTTTATTTTCGAAATATTCATTTATCGGCCATTATAACTGCCGATACCGATAGTTTGGAAAATGCCTAATATCGGCCGATAATATCGGTCTACCGATATATCGGTCTGGCTCTACTAGTCGTTAGATAAGAGGGAATCAGTCAATCCATCTACCTTTTTATGTTATTGACTTAAAGTTAAGAACAGTCTTGAAAAAAAAACTTTTAAGACTAGTCTTAGCCGTTCATGCAAATAAAAAAATTCTCAATGTTTTATACTTGGTTCTTGGAATGTTTTTAACTAGACGTTTTGAACATTCAGAGAACGTATTGTTAGCTGGGTCTGTTGTTTTGCAATGTGATTTTAGTGTTAGGAGTAGTTCACTTCTAAAAAAAACTTTTGCTGATAATTTACTCGCCCCCATGTCATTTAAGATGTCCACGTCTGTCTTTCTTCAGTCGAAAAGAAATGAAGGTTTTTGATGAAAACATTCCAGGATTTTTCTCCATATAGTGGACTTCAATGGGGTCCAAACGGTTCAAGGTCCAAAAGACAGTTTCAGTGCAAACTGCAAACTGTTCAAAGGGCTTTAAACGATTCCAGACGATGAATAAGGGTCTTATCAAGCGAAACGATCGCTCATTTAAAAAATAAATAACAATATTTAAGTTTTATAAGCTCAAATGCTCGCCTTGCTCTGTACTGTGACGCACGTTCGTGACTCTCCTGTTCGAACTCGTTCATGAAAATGAACAAATCTTTTTTCGTGTTATTTGATTCAACGAACAAAATGAACGAGTTGACTCGGGAAAAGATTCGTTCATTTTGATGGTTGATTTTTGATTTGGACCCCATTGAAGTCCATTATATGAAGAAAAATCCTGGAACGTTTTCATCAAAAACCTTAATTTCTTTTCGACTGAAGAAAGAAAGACATGGACATCTTGGATGACATGGGGGTGAGTAAATTACCAGCAAAAGTTTTTTTTAAAAGTGAACTACTCCTTTAAGGTCAATTTGAAGAAGCACTCCACCTGAACATGATTTAATTTCTAATACTCAAAACATTTTTGCATAAGTCATATTTAGGAATTAAAATGAATAAATGCTGTAGAAAATTTCTGCAAAAGTAGACGAAGCTCTTAACATGAGTAAGAATCAGATGCTCAAACAGAGATCCCCCCCCCCCATTGCTCCTTTTTCTGCAATTCTTGTCATCACCACTCGATGGAGACAGAGTACAGACGTGAAGCAATCTCAATCCAGCATATCTGACTGCAGTCTGACACCAGAAATAGGACTCACAGCTGGTTGAACATGCGCTTCATCTCGTCTGTGATGTTAAAGGGAACGTCCTCCTCTGAAGTGCTGGGATCCGCATCCATCTCTGAGCTTTCCTCATCCGAGACCTGCTTCTTCTCCTTCTTTCTGCAGGCAACCGCCGCCTGAGACCAAGAATATTACAGGCATTTTAAAAGCCATGGACATATAGTGTGGGTTTGGCAGCAATGCAGTATGTACCGTATGCAATTTTACTCACTCTGTCTGCTGGCGCTCTGGAAGGACTGATGTTGAACATCTTGGACATGTCCTCCGAGTTCCTTTGCTGAGCCACGTCACACAGTTTGGCCGTGATGTCGATTCTCCTGCAGATGTCCATGTCCACCTTCATGGCTTTCTCCTGAATCTTGGAGTCGAGGTCGGACATTTGCTAAACAAAGATTCAAGCGGTGTTAGAAAATTATTGGTGTGCAAATATTATAATTATGATGCTGGAGTCATTAGATTTGTGCTTATTCACAGTTTGTCTCCAAACCTGGCCTTTAAATATCTAGCAATCGTCACTATTCTCACTCCCATGCCTCTATATTTACACATAGGCCACGTGCACACTGCAAAGTTTTGCCATGTTGACATGGGCTAAATACAGTCAGCATTTGATTTGACAGCCGCATTTATTAACAGGTGGGACACTCCAATTGTCCATACTGCCTGTATGAACAAGTAAAGTGATAGTTCATCCAAAAATGAAAATGTTTTCATTACTTACCCTCAAACAGAACAGAAAATATGATATTTTAAAGAATGTTGGTGATCAGAGAGTTGATGGACCCCATTGACTTCCATAGTATTTCTTTTCTTACTATGGAAGTAAATGGGGTCCATCAACTCTCTGATTACCAACATTCTTCAAAATATCTTATTTTTTGTTCAACAGAAGAAAGAAACTCGTACAGGTTTGGAACAACATGAGGGCGAGTAAATGATGGGTGAACTATCCTTTAAGCAAAATAAATCCACTTTTCTGTTGTAACCATAAATGACACAATTTGATTATTGAAGATGGTCCAATCGATGAGCAAATTAGTTCAAATTTAAAATTTTTAAAATCTATTTTAAAAATAAATGTTATTATTTTTTATATATATTTTTAAAACTATATTAAAATAAAAAGAAATGTTAATTTTTAAAAGAAATATGTTTAAAAATGTTTAAAATAAAAAAATAGTTCATTACCTTTGAATATATTAAAATAAAAACAAATGTTAATTTTTAAAAGAAATATGTATAAAAATGTTTAAAAAAATAGTTCATTACCTTTACAAAAAAAATAATTAATGAATAAATATTATTTTTATTTTTTTACTCATTTTTATTTTAAGACTAAAAATATCTATTTCAATGTTTATTAAAATAAATTACATGCACATTAACAAAATACACATTGCATAATTAGGAACTGATTGTTCAGTTTGATTCTCTACTACATGAAAACTAATTTTTCGGGAGTGGATTGGGTTGGAAAATGCAGTTGTTGCATATAAATAACTGAACTGAGTGCAAAAGGAACAGTATTCATTGATAATCATATTTAGCTGCAGTATTTATAGGTGAATAAACTGATTCAAACCAAGAAACTCATTCTCTTAAAAACACACTATGCCACGGGATCACTTCAAATCACTGTAATCTCATGCCGAACGCCAATCATAGTCATAAATCAATGCCATTGCACATAGATGCTAAGACCAACAAGTTAGTCTTGTGGTGAATCCACAGGCACGCAACAACCTTTAGCAGTTAAGTTCACCTAAAGGCCTCATGGGAAACAATTGCTCTGACTCATTCATTGTGTATGGAGAAGAGGAAAAGGCAGAGCACCAAACCGCAGATGCCGAACTAATGCTATTTAGACATCCGTCCCTCTGTGTGTGTGTGTGGTCTGTTCATTAAAACACAACACACAGAGTGCAAGAAACAGATGCGAATCAAATGAATCAAAGCAATTGTTTTCCTTTATTAAACACAGATCATATCTTGCATTCTCTCTTACTTTCAGGTCCAGGATTTTCCTCCGGTTCTCTACGGCTCTAGAGCGGCATCGCCCGCCAGCCTTTATAATAAATACAGATTTCAGTTCAGTTTTTATTGCCCCAAGTCTATTTCTATTATTTACCGGGACACAGTGACACTCGTGTGAATGACTAGCTGATAGACGAGGCAATCCGAGAGCGAAGTTTAACGCTAACCCGTTAATCCAGGATAAACCGTTTATTCATTCCTCACCATCCACATCAGCTGGTATAAACTGAAGGTGTGTATGTGTTTGACACTGAAACAATGACAATGTGGGCATGTGTGTGTTGAAAGAGCCAAATAAAGCCGAGCTTGTTTCTCTGCTGTCACGAAACAGAAGTCTTAAGATAATTGGGTTATCTTAAGCTAATAAACACCTGATTGAGATTCGTATCAAATGTAGTGAAAACATCCACATGAAATATTACGTTTTATTTGGACTGCAAACAGGGATCTATGGAAGCTTGTTTCAGCCACTGAAAAAAAATATATAATAAAAAATTTCGACTTTATTTCTCACAATTCTGATTTCATATCTCGCAATTTTGAGATAAAAAGTCGAAATTGCGAGATATAAGGCTGCAATTCTGAGAAATAAAGACGCAATTCAGAGATATAAAGTCACAGTTCTCCCAATTCTGAGAAATAAAGTTGCAATTGCGAGATATAAAGTCGCAATTCTGAGAAATAAAGTTGCAATTGGGAGATATTAAGTCGCAATTCTGAGAAATAAAGTCGCAATTGCGAGATATAAAGTCGCAATTCTGAGAAATAAAGTCGCAATTGGGAGATATTAAGTCGCAATTCTGAGAAATAAAGTCGCAATTGCGAGATATAAAGTCGCAATTCTGAGAAATAAAGTCGCAATTGGGAGATATTAAGTCGCAATTCTCGCAAATTCTGAGAAATAAAGTTGCAATTGCGAGATATAAAGTCGCAATTCTGAGAAATAAAGTTGCAATTGCGAGATATAAAGTCGCAATTCTGAGAAATAAAGTCACAATTGGGAGATATTAAGTCGCAATTCTCGCAAATTCTGAGAAATAAAGTTGCAATTGTGAGATATAAAGTCGCAATTCTGAGAAATAAAGTTGCAATTGCGAGATATAAAGTTGCAATTCTGAGAAATAAAGTTGCAATTGCGAGATATAAAGTTGCAATTGTGAGAAATAAAGTTGCAATTGCGAGATTTAAAGTGGCAATTCTGAGAAATAAAGTTGCAATTGTGAGATTTAAAGTTGCAATTCTGAGAAATAAAGTTGCAATTGCGAGATATAAAGTTGCAATTGTGAGAAATAAAGTCGCAATAGCGAGATATCAAGTCGCAATTCTGAGAAATAAAGTTGCAATTGCGAGATATAAAGTCGCAATTCTGAGAAATAAAATTGCAATTGCGAGATATTAAGTCGCAATTCTGAGAAATAAAGTCGCAATTGGGAGATATTAAATCGCAATTCTCGCAAATTCTGAGAAATAAAGTGGCAATTGGGAGATATTAAGTCGCAATTTTCGCAATTCTGAGAAATAAAGTCGCAATTGCGAGGAAAAAAAAGACCGAATTGAGACTTTTTATCTCACAATTCGGACTTTTTTTTCTTTTTTTTTAAACTATTTTCCAATCAGAATAGTTTATTTCTCACAATTCTGACTTTATATCACGCAATTACGATTTTATATCTTGCATTTCTGACTTTATAACACGCAATTGCGACTTTATATCAATCGATTCTGACTTTAAATTTCGCAATTCTGTCTTTATATCTCGCAATTGTGACTTTATATCACACAATTCAGACTTTGTATCTCACAATTCTGAGAAATAAAGTCAAAATTGCGAGATGTAAACTAGCAATTGGGAGAAAAAAAGTCAGAATTGGGAGATAAAAAGTCGCGATAACCTTTTTTATTTTTCATTCTGTGGCGGAAACAAGCTTCCATAGGGATCTGATGATGTGATGAAACAAAATAATTGCACTGAACTTTATGAACCTAATACGATATATATAAAAAAAAAATCTTGCTAACACTCCCATTAACATTTTTTTCCTCCACTAAATGCTCTATGAAAGTTCAAAACGTTGTTTATTGTTCATGCTAATTTTAGGGAACATTCTATTTGACAATTTTGCAAACATTATGGAAATGTTACTTTTTAAATGTTCTCTAAACGTTCTGAAATATTTAAAAAAAATGTTTAACTGAAACATATCAGACAAAACATTCCATCTGATGTTTTGAGAACATGATCAAACGAACGCTTTATTAACGTTCCGGGAAGAACGTTTGTTTATAAGCTTACGGGAACGTTAGGGAAGAACGACATACTCACATCGCTCATGAGGCTCTTGAAGACCACCAGTTCAGCTTTCAGTTTTTCAACCTTCTCGTTCAACCCGTCCTGAGCGGCTTCAGACTCGTTCACGTTCTGAACACACAAAAGCAAAGCAACATAAGATTACAATTACATTAAACAGCCTGTGTGTGATGACATTTCACTCTGGGTCTGGGTTTAGGTTTAGCTGGTTAGTTTTCACTTCTAAACAAAGCATCTCCATTGACAAGCATTAAAACCATTTTTGATTTGATCAAAAACACAGTAACAACATAAATATTGTGTAATATTAAGACAATTTAAATTAACTTTATTTTTTTTTTATATATATTCAGATGTAATTTATTCCTGTGATCAAATCTCCAGTCTTCAGTGTCACATGATCCTTCAGAAATCACTCTAATATGATCATTTGGTCCTCAAGAAACATTTCTGATTATTATCAATATTAAAAACAGAATCCTTTTGTGGAAACAATGAAACCTTGTTTTTCAAGATTCTTTGAGTTATTTGAAATAGAAATGTTTTGTCACTTTTATGTCACATTTGAATGAATAAAATAGACATGTTTGTCGTTATTAGATAGCTTACACCAGGCCTTCACATCATTTATTAATAAAGCCTACAGATGTTCATGTTAAACGGCCTAAAGCACAATCCCAGCTTGAACAAAACACTAATGAAGGGCTGAAGGTTGGAGAGGAAATCCATACGGCTCAGGGCAGAACTGGGAAAGATGGCATGTTTGGGCTCTCCAGGGACGGTTCTCTCCTCTGCGCTTTTGCTGACCCATAATCCAATGCAAACAGATGCAGCCGTTTATTGATTTTCCCGCTGCTTCAGCAGAAGATGGATCTCACACCTGCAGTGTGATTCTGGGGAATATGGGGCGTTTGGGATGCAGCACTGCTGTTGATGTGGCGGTCCAGTAGGAACGGTTCGGTTCTGATGTCACGTTTAAACACTTAAACGCATCGTGACCCAGATTGTCACACACACTCACACACTAGTTTAAAGCTACATCCCAATTCAGAGGCTGCATTCGAAGGCCGATTATGTCACCGCTGCGCAACGAAGGCTGTCATAATTCAAACCCTGCATAAAATCCGGCTTCAAAATGCGTCCTTTTTTCCCGGTAAATACAAGACACAACAGATTGATACTTCGCGGACTTGCCTACCCTAGAATTCATTGCAACCTGGTGATGAATCCAAGTATTGGGTTACTCAAATTAATATCTATTGACAGAAATGTCAGACTGTTCTCATGAAATGGCTTATGTATGACACGCCAATTTGTATTTTCATTTTTGGCGTGCTATCAACACGCATAATCACTTTTCAGCGTGTTTATGAACACTGTTGACTTAACGTTACATTACTGTATTAATATATGACCTACCCCCAACCCCGTCCCTAAACCTACCCGTCACTGGGGTTAATGGCATTTATGAGTCTTCCCCTACCATCCTAGGAAAAAAAATATCGCTCTCCAGATGTAGATCGACATTTTGCTTTGTTTCGCTCGGACATTTAACGGCGTGTACTAGAGCCATACCGATATATCGGCAGGTCGATATTATCGGCCGATATTAGGCATTTTCCAAACTATCGGTATCGGCAGTTATAATGGCCGATTAATGAATATTTAAAAAAAAAAAAAAATTGAAGAAACACGCTTGAACCATGTCATGAGTGTTGGAGTTGTATAGTTTGTCCACCAGAGGGCGCTCTACACAGTTCCTGTTGGCAACACTCGTTGAGTTGGTCACGATACATACATTGCTTGAATAACAATTAAAAGATCATCCCCATCAGTTCTCTGAACTCAAATAAGCATGAGAGAATTTGTGACTATCATGTCCAGATTTGCTGTTAAATAAGCCGAGAGTGAAGCGAAATTAGCTAATTACGTTACGTTGTTACAGTGTAGTTTACTGACTGTCCTTTTAACTTTTGACAACGTGACTGAAGTATTTCTTTAATATTGCGTGACAGTTATAGCAATGAGACGCATCATCTCTCCTCGGCCTGTTATATTGAAAATGTATGTTTTAAAATTGGCAGTATGACGTTATCCATTGCTAAATTATGGCTCATCATAGACTAGCTAACCACAAAGCTAGCTAATGCCACTAACATCAGTCTGTTCTGTTGTGACAATAAAAGAAACAAGTTTGCATTATCATATTATTTTAGTTAAAACTCATAAATAACTACAAATAACTAATATTAGGGAAATCTGTTAATGTTTTGTTGCACATTACTGAAATAAAAAAAAAAAAAAAATTGGCCGATATATCGGAATATCGGATTTTAAAGCCAAAAAATATTTGTATCGGTATCGGCCTTCAAAATCCTTTATCGGTCGGCTCTAGCGTGTACATAATGCGGAATCACTCGGATTTTTAATGGCGTAGACATATGCTCAAAGTGCTTATAGATAACACGCCACTTGACTTGAAAGTGGCGTGTATGTTTACGAAAAACTCATGATGCCATGTTGCAAATGTAGAAAATAAAACTATAAAAACGATTCAAACGGCCTAAAATGAACATTCGTCAACCGCCAAATGCGAGTAAAAATATGAAACAATGTCAATCGGCTGTTTGCCGCCGGTAACATTTTCATGAATTCTAACAATGTAAAATTGTCTGTCTGTATAATGCCAATATGTTACCCTGCATCATGATATCTGGATGTGTGCACTCATGCAAGATTTCAGGGTCGTAAAATGACACAAACACGTGATATAACGGCAAATGTAGTTAGTATCACAGCGAGAGCGTCTGGACGGCTCCTGCTCAGGTGATCTCACCTCCTGCAGCGTCTCCACCATCGACTCCATCTGTTCTCTTCTCGACAGCTCCTCTTCCCATCTGCAACACACACACACACACACAAACCTCTGATGAGTATCACAGGGCTGGACGGTGTGAATCAAATCTTATATCACACTTTGAGTCATTTTATATCATAGTAACGGTGTGCATAAGAATATCATTATTTTATATTATGACAATTTTCCTGTTGTGGCAACAATGTCAAAGTCTTATTTTATGGAGAATGCTACACTCTCAGAAAGGTACAAAAGCTGTCACTGGGGCTGTACCTTTTCAAAACGTACACTTTTGTACCTTAATGGTACATATTAACACCTAAAATGTACATATTAGCACCTAACATGGACATATAAACAACTAAAATGTACATATTATCACCTAAAATGTCCATATTAGGACCTAAAATGTACATATTAGACTTAAAATTTACATATTAGCACCTAAAATGTGCATATTATTAGGACCTAAAATGTGCATATTATTAGGACCTAAAATGTACATATTATTAGGACCTAAAATGTACATATTAACACCTACAATGTACATATTAGCACCTAAAATGTGCATATTATTAGGACCTAAAATTGACATTATTAGGACCTAAAATGTACATATTAGACTTAAAATGTACATATTAGCACCTAAAATGTGCATATTTTTAGGACCTAAAATGTGAATATTAACACCTACAATGTTCATATTAGCACCTAAAATCTACATATTAAGGACCTAAAAATTGACGTATTAACACCTAAAATGTACATATTAGCACCTAAAATGGTCAAAAGTTTACCTTTTGAAAAAGTACAGCCCCAGTGACAGCTTTCATACTTTTTTTCTGAGAGTGTAATCTAACTTTTTAATGGAGCTTAATGGGATCAAACCACAATAACAGATAATTCATAACAAATAAAAATTGTGACATCAGGGCAAAAACAGATTCACATTATGTAATGCTTGCAGGAAAAAAAAAGACTCAAAGCAATGCTCTTGTTTTTAGGCTCTACTAGAATAGGTTTTCAAGCTTGAATGTTCATAAAACACATTATTTTCCTCGTATTATGTCTCGATGAAGCCCCTCCTTCTAAAAAAGCACACTGTGCTCTGATTGGTCGGCTGGAGCAGTGTGTCGTGATTGGTCAAGCGCTTCGAGTGTGTTTGGGAAATGTCCCGCCCCTTTCCATAACTGCCAGTTCAACACACTACTAACTAACTCAACCAGGCCCCGCCCCTTTATTCTGCATATTAATTATTTAAATTAATAATATTGTGACGTGTTCGTTCCCGGAAGAAACTCAAGGAGTTTCAGGGAGTTCAGAAACACTGACACTGATATACATTCTGCCTCCAGAGGCATGTGACAACACCAATTATCCCTTTGCTTCATGATACAGTTGCATTTATGCATTTAGCCAATGCTTTTAAGTTAAACCACAGAGATTTACAACAGAGAAATATAAGTATTTCAAAGCCACAGAGCCAATAATATTCATAGATTACAATCCCAGGTTTATTAGAAAGCTAGATCAGCCTTGACAATATCATAAAGCAGTCCTGCCCAGTGATAGCCATTCATTGTCTGATTATAAACACAGGAGCTCATCATCTCCATTTCAGTGTGATTGATCCTTCAGGCCAGGAATCCTCGACCGGGGTCTGCTGGCGTCTGTGGTCTGTGCGCCCACCCCTGGTGTCTCTGTAACCCAATACTGACCGTGGAAAACCAGTTCAAACTCACCAAAGGGCAGATGTATGTGAATCATTCTTTATAGATTTTGAGCTTATTCTTGTTATAGATGATCACTGAAACACTGAAAACATTAACTGGATGCCATTAGCAATATATCTAGTTTAGCTGATTGGCCAATGAGATTGCTGGCTTAATATTTGAATAGTCTGGATCAGTGTCCCTCTGAACCCTCCACCTCCCCAGCTCCTCCTGTCTAGATCTGCAACGGGACTTATGTACGCTAAAACTATTTTGAGACTTGTCACGATTGAAATATATAATATTTAATATATCTTAAAGACATTTAATTCAGCAAGGATACATTAAACTGATCAAAAAGATTTTATAATATATATCTATTTATTTATTTCTATTCATCAAAGAATACTGGAAAAATGTATATAATGGTTTCCACAAAAATATGAAGCTGTTTTCAACATAGATCATGAATATTTTTTCATATTAGAAAAATTCAACTTTGATCACAGGAATGAGTTACATTTTAAAATACATTAACATAGAAAACAGCTATTTTAAATTGGAATTATATTTACAGTATTGCTGTTTTTACTATGTTTGATCAAATAAATGCAGCAAAAGAGACTTCTTTCAAATTCACTAAAGAAATCATATCGCCCCAAACTTTTGATCTGTAATAAATATACATATGAATTAGAGCCAGACCGATATTATCGGCCGATATTAGGCATTTTCCAAACTATCGGTATCGGCAGTTATAATGGCCGATAAATGAATATTTCAAAAATAAAATAAAAACGGACGAAACACGCTTGAACCATGTCATGAGTGTTGGTGTTGTATAGTTTGTCCACCAGAGGGCGCTCTACACCGTCCCTGTTGGCAACACTCGTTGAGTTGGTCACGATACATACATTGCTTGAATAACAATTAAAAAAAAATATCCCCATCAGTTCTCTGAACTCAAATAAGCATGACAAAATTTGTGACTATCATGTCCAGTTTCAAATGAATAAATAAAATATCGGCCGATATATCGGAATATCGGATTTTAAAAACCAAAAATATTTGTATCGGTATCGGCCTTCAAAATCCTTTATCGGTCGGGCTCTAATATGAATATATTTGTTAATAATTGTGTTACAAGGATTATTAATAATATTGATAATATTAACAATAAATATATTTGGGTTTGCACAGAGATTTGGATGCATGTTTAAAGTATTGAATCAAACATTATTTCATTATGTGGTCCCTGTTTGGTTTTTAGCAAGTAAATTAAAACCAGGAAAGAAGAAACCACAACCCCGAGAACAGCTTCTGAAGCACTAAAAGCATTACTTGCATACATGCATCGTCTGCTTACAGCCTGCAAATTATGATTGACAGCTGTAAAAAGGCAGTTTATCAAACTTGTAAACAGAATGTTGAAAGACTGCACGCCGGAGGGAATCAAATCATTCCTGAGGAATCACTCCCTGTTGCTACTGCACGCAAATCCAGCATTGAGCCTTGATCACATTCACGGCCTGCTGAGGTTAAAGGAGTCGATCACTTTTAAAATTTACTCACCCCCATGCCATCCAAGATGTCCATGTCTTTCTTTCTTCAGTCGAAAAGAAATGAAGGTTTTTGATGAAAACATTCCAGGATTTTCTCCATATAATGGACTTCAATGGGGTCCAAACGGTTCAAGGTCCAAATGAGAGTTTCAGTGCAGCTTCAAAGGGCTTTAAACGACACCAGACGATGAATAAGGGTCTTATCTAGCGAAACGATCAGCCATTTCACAAATAAATACGAAAGTTTGCGTTTTATAAGCACAAATGCTCGCCTTGCTCTGTTCTGTGATGCGCGTTTCGAACTCGTTCATCAAAATGAACAAATCTTTTTTCGAGTCATTTCGTTCATTTTGTTCGTTGAATGAACCAAATGACTCGAAAAAAGATTTGTTCATTTTGATGAACGAGTTCGAACAGAGAGTCACGAACGCGCATCACAGAGCAAGGCGAGGATTTGTGCTTATAAAACTTCAACTTTTTTATTTATTTTTTAAATGAGCGCTCGTTTCCCTTGATAAGACCCTTATTCATCGTCTGGTGTCGTTTAAAGCCCTTTGAAGCTGCACTGAAACTCTCATTTGGACCTTGAACCGTTTGGACCCCATTGAAGTCCATTATATGGAGAAAATCAATCAAAAACCTTCATTTCTTTTCGACTGAAGAAAGAAAGACGTGGATATCTTGGATGACATGGGGGCGAGTACATTATCAGCTAAAGTTTTTTTAAAAGTGAACTACTCCTTTAACACTCGGCCGGCATCGCGGTTCCTACGGGGGAGTAAACAGTTCATTTCCCTCCTCATGAATGTGAGACACACGTCTATAAAGGACACAGACCCGTGTGATGTCAGCATACTAATTAGGGCACTCGATAATCTCAAGTGACTGAACTGGAGACTGCTCTATAGACACACACACACACACACGCTCTCAAACGCACATAAAACACGTCAGCTAAACACTTGCCTTCCCAAAACATACACTGTCGACCTTTCCTTTAGTGTTGCCACAGAAACTGTAGCAGAAAACACAAGGAAACCTCTTGAAAATTGGCTTGTCTCCTAAAAAGTAAATAGTTGAAATAACACTCAACTATTATTTACAATGGCATTTAAAAGCTTGGCTCAGTATCAGAAAGATCTATCTATCTATCTATCTATCTATCTATCTATCTATCTATCTATCTATCTATCTATCTATCTATCTGTATCTATCCATCTATCTGTCTATCCATCTATCCATCTATCCATCTATCTATCTATCTATCTATCTATCTATCTATCTATCTATCTATCTGTATCTATCCATCTATCTGTCTATCCATCTATCCATCTATCCATCTATCTATCTATCTATCTATCTATCTATCTATCTATCTATCTATCTGTATCTATCCATCTATCTATCTATCTATCTATCTATCTATCTATCTATCTATCTATCTATCTATCTATCTATCTATCTATCTATCTATCTATCTATCTATCTATCTATCTATCTATCTATCTATCTATCTATCTATCTATCAACCCAATAACCTGCTAACCTTCCGTACAGTAAGATATTTGATCTCCCGCTGGTCACTGTATTTTCTCTCTCTCTCTGTGTGTGTGTGTGTGTGTGTGTCTGATTGGAGCGTGGGAGATATGGCTGGACTGATGGTGATTGAACGCTGTTCCTAAGGTGCTGGTGCAGAGCTCACTGTGGAGTTTATAATCCGCATCAGCCAATCAGAGCACAGCACAGCGCATCACTTCCTGCTGGAGGCAGGGTGGCGTCACCACTGATGCAGAGGACAGAAGGACACAATCTGATCACAATGGACAGTCTGGACGCTTTACAGGGTGAAGAGAGTCTTACTGTCACTAGAATATAAAAGTAATTTCATGAATATTTCAACTATATGAAGAGATATAATGAGATGCATGGATTCTTCACTGAGATATTGTATATGTATTAATATCATTTTACATTCATGCGAAGCTTTATTTTTCCCCATGGACAGAAACTGCAGCGTTGCAGCAGCTAAAAATATTCTGCCATCAGATTCAAGATATGACTCATGATACGAGGTATTTCATCTTCAAAATTAGTTTTGTGAGTTTTAGTCCATGTCTGTTGCCTTTGAAATATGTTTATATGGTAGTACATTTAACTAAATCAACTATCAGCTGATATACATGATATATAAATAATGATTTTATTCAGCAAGAACACATTAAATTGAACAAAAGTGACAGTAAAGACGTTTATAACGTCACAAAAGATTTCTAATTCAAATAAATGCTGTTTTTTAAACTTTCTATTCATCAAAGAATCCTGAAGAATGATTTCTGAAGACTGGAGTAATTCAGCTTTGATCACAGGAATAAATTAAAATTTAAAATATATCACAATTAGGGCTGTCAAATGATTAATCGCGATTAATCGCATCCAAAATATAAGTTTGTGTTTACATAATATATGTGGGTGCACTGTGTATAATTATTTTATATATATAAATACACATGCTTGTATTTAAGAAATATTTTCATGTACATATTGTATAGTTTTATGTATAATTTATATTATATATAAATATTTTATATATAAATAATATTTTTTCTTAAATATACATGCATGTGTGTGTATTTATTTATATATATATATATATATATATATATATAAAATAATTATACACAGTGTATCCACCTATATTATGTAAACACAAAAACTTTTATTTTGGATGCGATTAATCACGATTAATCGTTTGACAGCCCTAATCACAATAGAAAACAGTACTATTTCACAATATTACTTTTTTTACTGTATTTTTGATCGAATAATTGCGAATAATTTGTTTCTTTCAAAAACATTTAAAAATCTTACGGACCACAAACTTTTATTCGGTAGTGTACATTTAAAATGTGCAGTCTTTAACGTCTAATCACGGACCCAAAACGATGATGACATCATCTGCCACTCAGGGGCGTGTACAAATGCTTGTCCAATAAACTGCCTTCTGAAATGCGCATGTCCCCCCCGGCAAATCATGGTTTTGCCAGGCGTTTATATTAACGAAAAGAAGGAGCGACAATCATACACAATGGTTATTCACTTTCACTTCAGCTAAACCCACAATTATTTCTAGAACAACTCGTGAGGAATGATTTGAATCCAGTCAACACTGAACCTAATCCCATCTGGACAGAATCAGACAAGGAATGACAGCAATAAGAGAACTAGTTCACTCCCAAACAAACCCCATAAGGACAGCTGGACGGGCGACAGGCTAATATAGACCTTACAAGGACGTGATAAAATCATCGCACAGACATCTGGCTACTGACCGCATGCCTTATGAATGATCCCATCATGCACTGCACACATGATTCAGTGTCACAAAAACACCTCATTGCTGTTCAAACATCATCGGTTGCTAACTGATGACCTAGTTGGGCATACAAATAGGTTGTAAATGTGAATGATGTCAGAACCAAAACAAGCCAGAAATTATAACTCATTTGGACAGACTCATTTGACCGAACGTTTCCCATCATTCTCTACAGGAGCTCAAGAATAGCATCTTTTGGTCTTTAATTGTTGAATTAGCTCTAAAAATCTTATAGAGGGGAAAAAATATGCATGGCCAAACTCATAAATACTAATATCCCAGGAGGACTGACCACTTCCATAGGGATATATGTTAATATCTTGTATATGAGAGGGAAAATGTTTACGGCCAGCTGTTTGCATACAGTAATGAAGGTCTCTGGCTATAAAAGTCATGTGTTCTGGGTCTGTTTCTTCTATACCCATGAGCCATCTTGGATCGCGTGCAGCTTAAATGCTTAAAGCACTGCAACCTGTTCCTTGACATTTTTTTCTACTTGTCTCAATCTATTGAAAGGTGTGTTGACCAGTGATTCATCTCAGCTGAAATACTGCTGCATGTGCAGAAATAAAATGCAGGAAATCAGCGATTTGTTTGTTCGTAGACTTTATGAGTCTATGATTAACCTGAGATCCTCAGGAGAGAAGGAACACATCTTTCTGTGCTCTTTCAGTGTGTGTGTGTGTGTGAGCGGACCTGACCATAATCAAAGTCATAAATCACACACACATGCACATCCACAGTGATTTATCACTAATATTCTTTCTCTGGCACAATCATTACTGGTCTACAGCATCTTCTTCTTCACCATGTGAGTTTATTGCATGTCGAGAGATTGTTTTCATCTCATATTTAGGGCTCAATTAAATCCTTTTTATTTTTTTCAGAAATTCAGTTTTTCATTTCCATTTTTCTGGATTTTAATTAAAAATCTAAAATGTTATAATATAAAATGATGTCTAATCAATTGAATTTTTCAAACTGCAAAAAATAATAATAATTTAATTAACCTGAGATCAATAAATGTAATAATTTATTGCATTTTTAACTCTATGAAATGTGCTTTTATTTTTTCAGAAATTCTGTGTCGTCCTAGTTTTCTAGATGCTTTATGATTTAAAGCACATTTATGATGCATTTATGATTTAAATCACATTTATGATGCATTTATGATTTAAAGCACATTTATGATGATTTAAAGCACGTTTATGATCAAAAATGGTGGTAAAACAAATAAAACAATTTGATTAATCTTTCAAAATGTAATCAAATTAAGTTTGGCCAATTCCTTTCATTTATGTCCGAGTTACATGCCAAAGTTTAATGCTTAGGATAAAAGGATTTAACAAACAACATAAGTGTAATAATTCTGAAGCTTGCTTTAACAAGCACAACAATTATTTCCACTAGACCTGTTTAAAAGAGTCGGGCAGGTCGAGGCAGAAACCTTCAGAATAGCCTGGCATGTTTCTTGAAATGCATCCAAATAATTATCGCAAGGGAAATTCAGTTGCAAAACCAAACAACATTTGCATAATACAGGCTGTCGCACTGGAAAAGGAAAACCCTGAAATCATTACACTCAGGAGATCACAATCCTTACTGTTAGAGATCACAGTAATATGATCTCAAATCATATTACTGTTGCCATTATTATAAAAAAATTAGGGATGCACCGATATAAAATTTTTGGCCGATACCGATAACCGATAATTCTTTATATTTGAAAGCCGATAACCGATATATCGGCCGATAAACTTAAATCCAAATTTTGATCTAATTTTGAGAGCCTGATTACAAAAACAAAAGCCTCACAATTAAATCCATGTCCCAAGCGCACGATTATAATGATGTTCTCATTATAGTGTTACATAGCCGATATAACAGATTTGCGAACCGTATTTTCATTTTTTGAAGAGATTTCAATCATTTTTCAAAAAATTCAAAAACATAAACAGTGCTCAACAAGTGTCTCAGCTGAAGGGAATAATACATTATTTATCGGCTTTAATATATCGACCACATTTTCTTACCAGACCGATAATGAGAACATTAAAAATGAACATATATCGGCCGATACCGATATGCTGGCCGATATATCGTGCATCCCTAAAAAAAATAATAATAAACATTGGAAACCATCCATAACAGTGGTTTTAAGGTTTCCATTGTTCATAACTCATCTCTTATCTGAGGTAAAATCACTGTTATGCCGGCCCTCTTGCGGCTTTATTGACATGGGATTTAAAAAGACGCCCAACACAAGCTCAGTCCAAAAACTAGGGTGTGATTCAAAAACAGAAAGAAAAAAGTGTCATGAAGCACAAGATGATGAGGGATTTGGAGGCTCACGTGTGTGTTTAGTGATGAAAACTGAGGGAAGCAGACATGTGTGAGAACAGGTGTGGACATTTAATACAACAGCTGACACACTCATAAAGTATCTGAGCAGAAGTGGGAGACCAGTCACCGTTCACAGCCCTGGAAAACAATGCAAATAACCCAAATAAGCATGCATAACCAGATCAAACACTCCTGAAACAAAGATGAAGCATGACTTATAAAAATACTTGTTTTTTTTTTAACCGTCTGGTGCTGTTCGTCGTTTTTGACTGAAAAAATGTAAAATGTTTGACTGTTTTTACTTTATCACAATGGTTTGAAACTTGGTGAAGTTGTGGCACTTGCTGTGTGAACAAAAAATAAATAAATCATGGACATGATTCAAAAAGGTTAAATGGTCTTGGTTATATGAACAAACCCAAATGTTGGGTTAAAAATGGAATTTAAAATTTTAACTCAGCTTTTAACTCAACATTTGGGTTTGTCCATATTTGGGTTGAAACAAGCCAGCATTTTTTAGCGTGCACACTTGAATTGTTCATGGTCAGAACTGAGCGCATTGGAAATGAACAGGAGCACTAGCTTTAATTTTCACACAGTTTTAAAGTAAACCATGTTTTGCTAAATATATATTTCATATACGATTTTAAAATAGTATTTTTTTGCATTTTTAAACAGTTTTAAAGGTCAAAGTATTTTTACAAATAAAGTATTTTTGTGCAGTTTTAAATTTTTGTGCATTTTTTTAAACAATTTTCTCACAGTTTTAAAGTAAACCCATGTTTTGCTAAATATATATTTCACGATTTTAAAATAGTATTTTTGTGCATTTTTAAACAGTTTTAAAGGTCAAATAAAGTATAAATAAAGTATCTTTACAAATAAATTATTTTTGTGCAGTTTTAAATTTTTGTGCATTTTTAAACAATTTTCTCACAGTTTTAAAGTAAACCATGTTTTGCAAAATATATATATTTCACGATTTTAAAATAGTATTTTTGTGCATTTTTAATAATAACAAATGTCTATAGCTTTTTTTTTTTACGTCAGCAACAATCTGCCAAGTGTCTTCTTTAAAAAAAGAGACCAAACTTAGGCTAAATCTGAGCTGAAAAGTATTCAAAGAAAAGTACTCAGAGAAATCTGAGCAGCAGGGAAACAATGCAAATGACCGAAATAATCATGCATATAATAATATTAATATAGATAAATACAAAAAAAGCTTATCAAGCAAAAAAACGCAGCTGTATTTTTGCACAAACTCGTGTCACAAAGTGATTAATGTTAAATTTATTGCATGTTGTTGGGCCATTGTGCTAAATATATTGTAATATCAATATTAATATATATTTAAATATGTAATTTTAAGGATGTTTTGCTCTAATGACGCCGGATGACGGGCCGTCACGACTAATCCAGCCTCCTGTCCGGCCCTGGACAGCCTCATCGCACCCAGTGTGTTCAGCAACGTGCCGCTAAACAAACTCATTATCTCATATCCCTGTCATCTCATGTGCGCTGCTGTCACGATCCACATCTCAACACACACACACCCAACAATAATACACCTCAACGGCTTCGACATAAACAAGGCGCAGCCAAAAAATACTTTGCATGTTAATTCCCATCACAACTTCTGGAGAAAGAACACTTAATTGATGTTAATAACTTGTAATCCCAGCCAAGAACAGTTAAATACAAGTCGTTCCTGTGTGATAACTTGCACTGCTGACGCTCAGGGCGGTATTATTCATTGCCACTCCTCGTAGACGGAAAAACCTACGTTTGATCCAAAAACCACAAGGCTTGTTAGGACTGATATAACTTTTAGGACTGTGTTATATAACTTGATATAAAAAGTGTGATTTATAGGTTTGTTTTGTTCGCTTTAGCAACACCCAAAATACAAGATACCTTTATCCTCTAGTTGACCCATGGTTTCTCAATTGTGCCAGAAAACGGTCATCGATGCAAGAGTAACGGGGCTAATTACCAATTCCCTTTATAGAAGTGGTCGATAATGCATTAAAGTTCACAAAAAGATCTTTAAATCAACCAGAATTTAGCAAAAGGCTTTGAACTAAAGTGCATTGCGGGGGCTAGAAAGGCCTGTTGTTATTATGCAGCAAATGCTTTGATTATTTGTAGATACATTAATACACTACTTATTATAAAGTGTTGCAGATTGTCAAGACCATGATATTGTGAATATGGTTACAGCTCATGACATGCATATTAATACAAATAATATACGTAAATATTTTGAAATGAACATTGTGCCGATTACTTTATGAATAAACAGCCTGTCCATTAATCTACAACATGTATAAAATGTTGAAATTGAAATTAATATTTATTAGTTACCATCCAGTCTGCTTGAATATGGTATGTTTTAAACATTTTCAAGGCTAAAAGCCATCGTATAATCTAAATATGCACACATCTTTAAATGCTATATTAATGTGGCAATACCTTAAAGTTATGCTTCCACTACTATCAAGAGCTAAAAGAGATCAGAGTCGTTCATTTCATGTGTGCTTCCACAGGCCGGAGAACAACACGTCACGGATGACTGTGGTCATGTTAACACCGGACATGTGCGAGCCTGGCAGAGATTAGCCCGTCTGAATCAGAGAACGGTCCGCCCTAAACCTCCTCACACACCCGTTCCATCCGCATGAGATGGACACTATCGAGATGTCTAACCACTGACTGAAAGACTGTGAGGAGACATCTGTCAAACTTTAATGCTCTGTTAATCTGATGACCATCCCTGAAACATGACTACATCTCACACTGCCCATGGATGGATGGATGGATGGATAGATAGATAGATAGATGGATGGATGGATAAATAGATGGATGGGTGGATGGATGGATTGATTGATAGATTGATGGATGGGTAAATAGATGGATGGATAGATAGATAGATGGATGGATGGATAAATAGATGGATGGGTGGATGGATGGATTGATAGATTGATGGATGGATGGATAAATGGATGGATGGATAGATAGATGGATGGATGGATAAATAGATGGATGGGTGGATGGATGGATTGATTGATAGATTGATGGATGGATGGGTAAATAGATGGATGGGTGGATGGATGGATTGATTGATAGATTGATGGATGGGTAAATAGATGGATGGATGGATAGATAGATAGATGGATGGATGGATAAATAGATGGATGGGTGGATGGATGGATTGATTGATAGATTGATGGATGGGTAAATAGATGGATGGATGGATGGATAGATAGATAGATGGATGGATGGATAAATAGATGGATGGGTGGATGGATGGATTGATAGATTGATGGATGGATGGATAAATAGATGGATGGATGGATGGATAGATAGATGGATGGATGGATAAATAGATGGATGGGTGGATGGATGGATTGATTGATAGATTGATGGATGGATGGGTAAATAGATGGATGGATGGATAGATAGATGGATGGATGGATAAATAGATGGATGGGTGGATGGATGGATTGATAGATTGATGGATGGATGGGTAAATAGATGGATGGATGGATAGATAGATGGATGGATGGATAAATAGATGGATGGATGGATGGATGGATTGATAGATTGATGGATGGATGGATGGATGGATGGATGGGTAAATAGATGGATGGATTGATAGATGGATGGATGGATAAATAGATGGATGGATTGATGGATGGATGGGTAAATAGATGGATTGATAAATGGATGGATGGATTGATAGATTGATGGATGGATGGATGGATGGATGGATGGATGGGTAAATAGATGGATGGATGGATGGATGGATAAATAGATGGATGGATGGATAAATGGATGGATGGATGGATGGATGGATTGATAGATGGATGGATGGATTGATAGATGGATGGATGGATGGATAAATAGATGGATGGATGGATAAATAGATGGACGGATGGATTAATAGATGGATGGATGGATGGATTGATAGATTAAAGGATAAATAGATGGATGGATGGGTAAATGGATGGATGGATGGGTAAATAAATGGATGGATGGATGGATTGATAGATAGATGGATGGATGGATTGATAGATTGATGGATGGATGGATAAATAGATGGATGGATGGATAAATAGATGGATGGATGGATGGATTGATAGATTAAAGGATAAATAGATGGATGGATGGGTAAATGGATGGATGGATGGGTAAATAAATGGATGGATGGATTGATAGATGGATGGATGGATAAATAGATGGATGGATGGGTAAATGGATGGATCGATGGGTAAATAAATGGATGGATGGATGGGTAAATAGATAGGTGGATGGATAAATGGATGGATGGATGGAAGGATGGATACAGAAGGTGTGCAGGTTATTTCAATAGATAGATAGATAGACAGACAGATCTCTGCGTGATCCTCAGCACTGGAGCCAAAAACAGCGGCGCTTCAATTATTCATGCGGGAGAACGAGTGTGTGCTGACGGAGCCTCTCAGACGACAGTTTCATCTTCAGTTTTGTGGAAGAACATTGGGGTGTAAACCATGATAAAAATATTTAAAAAATCCTATTTATTTGAAATCTTTTGTAACATTAAAAATGTCTTTACTGTCCCCTTTGATCAATCTAACGCGCCCTCGCTGAATAAATGAAGGAGATTCTTTAAAAACAATCGTACTGACCCCAGCGTGCCGTGTATACACAGTTATCATCTTAAAAAAATATACGCTTTTATTTCATTTAGATATTGAATGTTTGGTATAAAAATGACTAGCAGTTCAATCAAATAATGAGTGAAAATGTAATGACTTGCAGTTAGTTAGTTAGCATGCTGATCACAACATTTATATCTCATTTAAGAGGTTAATGTATCTCCCTTTATAAGTATCCCAGTGATTTCTTCAGTTCTGCACTGATGATAAAGAAAACACTGTTTTATTGGTGGAGCGGCGGAAGAGAAATGTCACTGAAGTGTCTATAGGAAATCAATAATCTTCACAAACTCAGCGGGTTTGACCAATCATTGCACATGGATTTTCACGCAGTGCAAAGACACTAACGTCGTCTTTCTCTGAATGGTGCAGTATTGTGAATGTCTCATTCAACAAGCACATTCTTTATGAGAAATGTCGCTTTTTTAAAAGACAGACAACTAAAATATGGTTGATTAGTAACAGGATTAGCAGTCCAGCACCCCTAATACAATTGCTCATATTAATTTCACTAAGTATTCAACTTCAGAGGGAAGTTTACCTTTAATTATGCATGTGTTATTACTTTTTTAAGTGCACAATCATAATTGCATTATATAACGAGAAGCACCTGTATGTCAACGAGACCAAGAGGAAACCAATTTCACAGAGATTATCAAATTCAATCATGATGCTCTGGAATGCGAATATCAAATGACTACATTTTAAAATCAAATTTACTTCATAATATACAATTACCAATAAGTAGATGCAAATAATTGCATGCATCACTATTTGCTGAGAAAAATCCCTATACTGTACATAATATATTCAGAATATATTGAGGCATATTACAGACTGAAAAGTGGCCTTATATATGTTACAATGATAACAAACACACACTCAATAGAGAAAATGAAAGTGTTTTTTTGGCCTTTGATGCATATAAACTAGGGCTATCAAACGATTAATCGCGATTAGGGCTGCACGTTTTCAAGTTTTTCATTAACCGTTAAGCGAGGCCCTTATCGGTTTATACTCGGTTAACCATGTGTGCGCGCCGCAACCTCGAGATACAGAGTTAATTTTTAACACCTTTAGCTAATAACTGGTTGGACCCCATTTGAAACTAAATTAATTTATAGAAATAAAACGCAGTGGTAAGTAGGCGCGTTTCCATCACCCTTCAAACTGAAATTGCCCATTGAAAATACGCACAATGGCAACACATCCATTTCGCAAAAACTCCGTATCCGCAAATAATAATAATAATCATTATTTTAACATTTTATTAGGCTGCATATGTAGAAGACGCTTTTATCCAAAAAAGGAACAAAGCACAAATTCGCGATTAATCGCATCCAAAATAAAAGTCTGTGTTTACATAATATATGTGGGTGCACTGTGTATAATTATTTTATATATATAAATACACACACATGCTTGTATATATTTAAGAAATATTTTCATGTAAATACTGTATATAGATTTAAATACAATTTATATTATATATAAATATAAATATTTTATATATAAATAATTTTTTTTTTCTTAAATATACATGCATGTGTGTGTATTTATATATATACAAAATAATTATACACAGTGCACCCACATATATTATGCAAACACAAACTTTTATTTTGGATTAATCGCGATTAATCGTTTGACAGCCCTACTATAAACCTTTTGAAGTAGGAGACCTGCAAAACAAAATTAGGAGCCTTTAAAAGGCATAATAACTATAAGAAGTTTCATTTATAAATGGTTGGTAAACTTCCTGTAGAACATCCGAATCTCTAACAAAAAACAAAGATATTGTCATCATTTCATATCCTAACTTGTCCGTGGCCCATTTTAAGGGGGCCTGTGTGAGGTCATGGCCATCGGAAGACAAAGACGAGCCCACAACAGTGTTAAACAGGGCTGTGAATCACACACAGGAGGACCAGGATGTGATTCACACACACGTTTCCTCTCCGCTCGCCTTCATTTTGAGCTCATTGTTGTAGCTTTTCTGAAGGATAAGGCAGCAGTATTTACTAGTGAGTCAGCACATGCTTGGGCAAAGAGGGCACACACACACACACACACATTCACGCGGCTCCTCTGAGGTCACGGTGTGTTTGAAGTCATTCAGAAGTCATGCATTAATAAAACCCATTCAACATCCAGCTGTAATCTCATTTACAAAGGCTGCATGGAAATCAGGAAATCTTTCATCATGTCTGTCTCGCGTTACACTCCAAAACCATTAGAACAAAACTATATTTAGCAAAAATCCATGAAACAAAATAATCACTTTAAGAGCGTAGTTTTCAGCACATTTTTATTACTGTAAATGCAAAAAATTAGCCTCATTACTGCATTGCATCCTATTGATTTACTTTTACTAATTTGAAAATATAAAGTATGCCGTATTGTCAGTATGCAATGACTGAAACACTGGGCAACTGAAATAAAGAGGTTCTCATATTTCTGAAGACAGCTGCATGTTTTGCAGGAGGACTGAGCATTGCTGGTATATTTAGAGGTGACCATATAATGGAAAAACAAACGCGCTCAAGATCATCTTAATAATCATCAGCAATGCACATGCAAAAGAAATAATGTGATTGCATCTTTAAAGAACTTATAGGTCCAGTCAGATGAATCATTTGTCTGAAATATTTATATACATTGTCCTGTGTGGACCCTTCGATATATGCTGTTCACCTGCCAAGAAATTCTGCTGCAATGAATCAGTCGTTGAGCAGCAGGCTCACTCATTCAGGCCTATACAAAGCATCTGTATACTCACTTTCTCTTGTACTCATCCCTCTCCCGCTTGACTTTGGCCAGGACGTTATACAAGGCTCTCAGTTCTGGGGTGATGGTGTCGATTTGGACCCCGACCCCGTCCGGATGTGTCCAGGAGACTCCGGGTCCCTTCACGCGCTCCCCGTGTCTCAGGATATGCGTGTAACTCCAGATGGTGCCTGGAAGTCTGGACTCCAGAGAGTCGGTCTGAACGGCCACCTCACGCGTGAACGAGAAGCCGGGATACCTCGGCTGACTGGAGGCTTGCTTCAGCTGGCTCTCCAGGAGTTTGTTCCTTCTCTCCAGCTCATGGACTTTGGCGAGGAAGCAGCGGAACCTCAGGTTGAGGGTCTTGAGCACATGTATGTTGGATCCCAGGTCGTTGCGCAGAGCTCTGGGCACCGCGTCCGATGGCGCACCGCTCACCACACCGCCCAGAAAGCCCTCTCCAAACAACAGAGAAGAACTCATGCTTTCATACAGAACCAGTGCGCTTTACCTCAGTTCAAATCCTTCAGATTCTCTCTGAAGCTGGTGTGTCTTCTTCTCAAGCGTAAAAACCCCTCGTCGATCGAGCGGAATCAAGCGATGCGGTCATTATCTGTCTATCCTTCCAGGACGCGTCATGTTCTCCATGGGAACGGCGAGGAATGTCGGAGCACACTGTGTGTATGTCAGCTCATTCCTGAAACTCCGGGACATCTGGAGATCTGCGACTCATCTCAGTGATAATAGCGCAAGAATGAACTCCAAACTGCCCGATCACACTGATATCATTCACACACACTCTTCCGGGTGACTCCGTGATGTTTTATAGCAACCGGCGGGACGGGATCGAGTTTCAGACTCCTAAAAGAAGGAGATCCGCAGCGGACTCTCCGCCCCCCACCAGCGCCACACACACACACACACACCCAGGGACGCGCAGGCGCGCACTCGCGCTCACAGGACAGGACAATATCGCCCCCTTCAACAAACTGCACACTTTTTATTTCTTAATACTGTAAATCTATTTATTATAATCCGATTTCAAAGACGCACCTTTTTAAAAGACCCACAAATGCACCAACAAACAAGTTAAGAAGTTGAGAAAAACAAAACGTTTTTCTTTGGGTTTACTGGTTGTTGTCGTTTTGCACTGTTTGTTTGTAGCCTAATAATCAAATGTATTTGTATTTTTTTTGTTGCGCTTTTGCAGTTATATAAATACAATCTTTGAGCAATGATCCATAATTCTCTTAATAAGAGATAAAACAAAAGAAAGCATTAGATAAAAAAAAAAAAAACTAACTAAAAAATAAAAGATTTTGTTTAAATAACTGAAAAGAAAAGATTTATTATGTTACTAAAGATGTCGCCCATCCTGCTAATCTTAAAAAAATGGTATGATGCAAAATTTTCATGTGTTTTAAATGTTATCTATCTATCTATCTATCTATCTATCTATCTATCTATCTATCTATCTATCTATCTATCTATCTATCTATCTATCTATGTCGCTCACCAAGGCTGTATTTATTTGATAAAAAAAAATACAGTAAAATATTTTTTGCAATTTAAAATGTTTTCTATGTGAATATAAATGTAATTTATTCCTTCAGAAATCATTCTAATATGCTGATTTTATTTGCTGCTCAGGAAAACATTAGGAATACATAATATCAATGTTGAAAATAGTTGTGTACAATCTTTGGTGACTAGAAAGCTAAAAATAACAGTATTTATTCGGAAAAGAAAGCTTTTTTAACATTATAAATGTCTTTACTGTCACTTTTGATCAATTTAACCCATCATTGCTGGATAAAAGTGTTACAGTAATTTCTATTCATCAAATAATCCTGAAAAAGAAATTGTACAACATTGTTGATAATGTTAAATTGATTGACAATAATAATCAATCTAAAACCTTTGTATATTATATAAACATTTTACGTCTTGCTCATTGCAAAGACATAATCAGCTCAGTGAATGTAAATTAGTTATTACTGTAACTCCGACTCATTAATCAGAGTTGAAAAGAACCAAGCAGACTCAACATTACTGTAAATGAGCCATTAGGTAAACCCATAAATCACTGTCAGTAGAAAGTTTTAAGCTGAAGTACACTGGAGAAGAAGGCGTTGAGTGGATGACTTTTTCACTTTTGCATGTTGTGGCAACACAAAGGCTGGAGTGCTTTCATTTCACCAAAACACTGATTGAATCAGACATTATTACACAAGCATTAAACCTGCCCCGGCTTGATGGCCATCTGAACATGTGCAGAAAACACACCCATGGGTTTATGAGGATCATGTGCAATTTTTTGCAATTGTTTTGAATAGATAGTACAAGTATGCAAAATCACATTTTTTGGGAATGCAATCATGTCTGCTACAAATCCTTTATTCAAGTGTTAATTGCCCACGTGAATCCACCTATTCTCATATTAATCTATAACAAAACCAGGCAGTTCCTAATGAGTTTTAGGCGTCTGGGGAAAAGGTGTATTCATGACGTGTTGAAATGATCCGCCTGAGATCTGGTCCTGCAATGCCATGTTTAATTTGTGAACAGGGAAAGGAAAAATACAGAAATTATATTATTAATTATATAAGTATATTTTGTATATTTGACAGTGAGGAGACTGACTGAACATCTTCACAACACGAGAACCTTTTGTAAAATAAATGATCTTTCAATACTGCATCATTTTATCATTGCTTTTATACCAATGTTTTTCCCTTGTCTTAGCCTATATAACTTTATTAATTTGAGTTTAATCAGCTTAAATCATGAACGGCAATCAGTTTCCTCAAACCATTTGAGCAGCTGCATAGTTGTTTAGACTTGATTAGATTTATTAAATTAACTCAAACCAGTTAGTTTAAATTAATGAAATGAACTTAAAATATTCAAGTTCAATATACTCAAAATGATTGACTAAACCAACACTAAATTATGAGAGAATATGACTCGTACAAGTTCACAATTGTTTTTAAACTTAAATGGTTTGAAGCAATCAGTTTGAGTTGAGTTAGCCTAACTTATTTACAGTGTTGTACAGTGTATGGGATCAGTGTCAGAATTTAAGTGAAGAAAAAAAACAAAACATATTCCATTTAATTAATTACAATAAACAGAGGATATCTTTCTTCCTTATAAAAGTACTAAAAATAATAATATTTAAGTAGGCTAGTAGCCTAATTAAGTGCAATAACTTTAGGACACCCCTGCCTGTGTTTAATTTGTTTATTTATTTTAATTATTTAGTTATTGTGCGTGTTGTAGGCTACTTATTGAAACAATGTGGCGTATTGACAAAATTAAGTGTTTTGCACTGTACATAGGCTAATGTTCAAAATTACTTATGCTACTATAAAAACTGTCAACTTTAATGTTTCAAAAACTATCTTCATGGACTAATAAGCGATTATCGTCGTCAGAATGTTAAAATCTCCTGTGTAGTCCAGCACTTGTCTTTATACTGTAGTGTTTGACTTGTGCTGCGCCTCCTGCTGGTTCGGAGGTGTTCTAATATTCATGAGTGCACCGGCGAGCACCACTAGTCGGCGCTGTGACTCCTCACTGTTCCTCAAGCGCCGGAAGATCCGCAGGCGAAGAAGAAAACAACGTGAGCACCATGCCGAAATCCAAGAGAGACAAGAAAGGTATGAATCTAATGTTTTATCACTTACTATTCATCAACTTTACACACCACAGATTACAATTAATCGAGCTTTAGTTCGTGCTGTGGTTAAAGAGTGGAACGTATGAACGTTATAATTGGCACAGTACTAAAATAAAGCAATGTTTGCTACTTGTTTCTCATACATGGTTAAACTGTAACGTTAATCTACATTACTGTCATTTATTGAGGTTATTATTGAAGCAGCCGGGTGTGTTCCAATGTCATAATCGTTAATAGTTGGCTTTATTTTTCGACAGTTTCTTTAACCAAAACTACCAAGAAAGGGTTGGAATCCAAACAAAACTTGATTGAAGAGGTTAGTATGATGTTTCATCGCTCTTTTGGGTGATACACAAGTATTATGTACCATAATAATACCAGATGATCATGTTTTGAGATGTTGAAGCTTCAATGGAGAAAGAAAATCTGACTGTATCTGACTCATTTTGCTTTGTGTTATTATAGCCTAATGATTGATGAAAATCATTTTTCCCTTTCTCACCTTATCAGCTGCGGAAATGTGCAGACATCTACAAATACGTGTTTGTGTTCTCAGTAGAGAACATGAGAAACAACAAACTGAAAGACATCAGGACGGCCTGGAAACACAGCCGGTACACACACTCACAGTTGTGCGCACACACACACACACACACATATAAGGTTAATGATATTTTGGCCTAACCCAATCCCAACCCATCACAGAAACATGTGTGATACACTAGATTAAAATAAAAAAACACGTTTTGGCTGATTTATAAGCATTTTAATCTAGTTTGGACCAGTAAAATGTCCTCACTAGTTTGTTGTCAGAATATTTCACAGTGTAAGTGAGGACATTTGACCCTCACAAGTATAACTAAACCAACACACACACACACACACATCATGCTAATGCTGATTTACTATGCTTTATTTAACCCTGAAACCGTATTCTGGACAAATGTGGGCAAAATAGTTTTGATTTATTTTTTAAAAATACTTCCCTTGATCTGAGCGGTGCAAGACTTGGCTACTTTTCCTAAGTTTGCCTCCTGAACACACACAATGTTTTTTTTTGACTCAATTCTACAATGTTAAGTGGGTGAAAAAAACTCCTTAATCTTGTATTTGGGTCAAAAATGGGCACCCATAGAAATGAATCGGAAAAACTGTAATTTATAGCATCCTAAAATAAGCCAAAATAAGACACCAGGTGACAGCAAAGTCACTTCATCTTTAGGGTTTAACTCTAAGAACTTATTGGAATAATATTTTAATGTAGTTACAAAAATAAAACATAAGCATAATTTACATAGAAAATATGGTGCTTTTTAAAGTAAATAAATTCAAAAATACCCCCAAAATGAAATGAAACACCATAAATGGATAGACAAAACTTTATCGAAGACAGTGATATAACATTCATAATAAATAAAAATTAGGATCACACCTGAGTCCCAACATTTGTCCACAATTACAGGATTAAGGGCTATAATGTGAATACGGTTTGAGGGCTACGAAATTAATGTTGATTTGGGGTTTTGTGTTTCAGGTTCTTCTTCGGAAAGAACAAAGTCATGATGATTGCGCTGGGTAAAGGACCGACTGATGAATACAAAGATAATCTGCATAAAGTATGTCAGTGTATGTCATCAATGATATAATTGATGCACAAATGTTATGCATTTATCTACTGTGTTGGCTTACTCTGGCTAATATACAATAACTGATTGTGTTTGTGTTCAGCTGAGCAGGTTTCTCAGAGGTGAAGTCGGTGTCTTGTTCACCAACAAAACCAAAGAAGAGGTGCAAGAGTAAGTAATGAACCTCGGACACCAGTTCATATGATCTTAAATGATTTGTCATAATTCTGCATAAACTGCTTTTTCACGAATTCAAAACAGATGGACTGAAATACTGGCTAGTGTGATTGAAATAAATGATGTCTTACACACTTAATAAGATCTTATATGTTGTTCTTTTCATACCGTGTTTGTTCTCACGCAGATATTTCAGTGAGTTTAGAGAGATGGATTACGCTCGCGCGGGAAACGTAGCGTCCATGACGGTGACGCTGGACGAGGGTCCGCTTGAACAGTTTCCACACTCGATGGAGCCTCAGCTCAGACAGCTCGGGCTTCCCACGGCTTTGAAGAAAGGTAAACCACTCCTGAACTAGAGACTCGCACACATGAGTTCTGTGTGGACTGTGAAGAAGCATTCGTATATGAGGTATTGTGTAATTTTGACATTCATACTTATTAGGGTTGGGTAATAAATATCGATTTCTCAATATTAATCGATTCTCGTTTTTACAAACCGATATCGATTCTTAAATCTCAAGAATCGATTAGTCATCCTGTTTCATTTGAATGAATGGATCATTGTATCGCGGCTGCGCGCATCCAAAAAATCGCAATAATCTTTGTCCTTTGTTACTATTGATATGAAACAAAGTCTCAATTTTCAAATTACGTCCATTTTCTTTAGAAATTCAAAAACATAAATAGTGTTAAAATAAATAGAAGCAGCAGCGCTGATCTCTCTTCCGGCTTAATAATACCAGTCACAGCGCCAAATAAACATGAATGAGCATCTGAAAGTGTGTTAAAGATAGAGTACAGCTTATCGAAATCCGGATCATGTCACATTGATTCACTCAATCAGCGTTTCAACTGTGGAAAGACGTCAGTTAAACAGCTTGTAATCAATGTATCATCATATTTACCTCAGAAAACCCACATAAACTCGTTAGTCAGCTAGAAAAAATAACTCTAGAGAGGAGCATTTTGCTAAATATATACACCATATTACATATGCATTATAATCTTAATGCTCTTCAATATTTAATGCATATTTGAATAAATCTGGCAAGTTTTTATGATAGCCACCATTTAAATGTTTATATTTCATATAATCTTCTTATTATAAAAATAAATAAAAGTGTAATTTAAGTGTTTGTAAAGCTACAAAACAGTTCATTATTACCTTCATATTAGGCTAATGAAGCCCAACTAGACTCCCATAGTTTACAGCATTAGTTAAGAGATTTGATCTCCTTGAGAAAATTTGCCATTTATTGTAACTGATATCCAAGATAATCAATATTGAATCGAATGGAATTGCAAGCTTGTGAATCGAAATCGAATCGAATTGTGAAATTTGTGTCAATACCCAGCCCTAATACTTATCATCACAATGTTTTTGTATAACAAGACCGAATGCATTCATATATATATATATATATATATAAGAAAATAAACTGAAATCTGAAATGGTCTATTATCAGTGGAGCATAAGTGTACTTGAAATGGACAAAAAGTAGTGTGCACTAACATAATATCAATCCATGTGCAGGGGTGGTGACGCTGATAAAGGATTTTGTAGTGTGTAAAGAGGGAGACACACTCACACCCGAACAGGCTCGAATTCTGGTGAGTTTGTCATTAATACACTGCTTAAAATCCTATTTTTAAAGGTGCACTATGTAAAGTTTTTTTGTTCAGAATTAACTTCATTTAAAGTAGTTCACTTAAAAATGACAATTCTGTAATTACTCACCCTCAATTTGTTTCAAACCTGAATGAGTTTCTTTCTCCCGCTGAACACAAAAGATATTTTGAAGATTGTCGGTAATTAGGCAGTTGGACCCCATTGACTTCCATAGTAAAAAAAATACTATGGAAGTCTACTGTTTTTAAGTTGTAATAACTTGCACTGTTTCTTCTCAATATTTATTTATTTTTAAATATTTTAGCTGGAAAACAGAACAAAAAGACTCGATTAAAACTTAGTCAATTTTGAAACGCATTTATTGCTGGATGGTTTATTCATAAATATCACATATCTTTATTTGGATTGAAATGCATTTGAAACAACAACAATAGATGTCATTATGTCTAATAATTATGTCCATAATTATGGAAGTTTGTTTGTGCCATAGAATAGAAAATAAAAAGGGTAATCATGAAGTAAAGGTACGGTAAATTAAAGGATAAAGTCGCAATTATCTTTTCTATTTTCCGTGATAAGCTTTCCTATGTCCTAGACTGACTGGGATTCAATCTTGAAATCTTAATAACATTATTCTAAACCGATGTGTTTTTGCCCTTTCAAATCAGAAACTCTTTGGAAACGAGATGGCGGAGTTCAAGATGTCGATTAAGTGCATGTGGAGTTCAGAATCCGGGGACTTTGAGAAGCTAACGGATGGGGACGTCGAGGACAGCAGGAAAGAGGAAGCGGATGAAGACTCAGAGGAAGGAGAAGGGAGCGAATAAATCCTGGACTTTTTTTGCCATGAACATTTGTTCGTTTTGATCCACCATAAACCTGTAAAATGTTTTTATTGAGTGTTCTTTCAGTCATCTGTTTCAAAAATACTAGTTTCTGTCCGTCTGTACTGAAGAGAGAGAACGGGACTGAGGCAAACGTGATCTGTGTGTTATTCTTACTGTTAAATATAAGTTATTTAGCAAATTTAAGGCAAGAAGAAAAACGGCACAGTGATCTATCAAGACACAATTGCATTCTCATGTAAACGTGGGGTATGAAATACATTAAGTGCTGGTGAGCTCAGGACGAGGTTTGATTTTGTCATTGTGTTCATTAGGAAGCACATCCAACTCAATTTATCACTTGACCATTGAAAAATAAAGCGATTTCTGGATTAGTTCTTCTAAATCAGGCTTCATGTTTTCTCTAATTGTCTAGCGGAAGTAGTTGGGACACTCGTGGGCCACTAAATCCCAGGCGTGTTTGAAAGCGTCCACGACTTCCTGTTTGAGCGGACCTTCTGCTGCTGCCGTCAGGTTCTCACGCAGCTGATCCATGCTGGACATCCCGATAATGACCCCGTCACCCTCAGCCCCCTGCAAACACATCAAATATCTCCGTTTAATCCCGTTATGAGTCCAGTTATCTTAGGACGAGTCAAGTCAAGTCAAGTGACCGACAAACTACTGCAGATTACAGATTACAAAACTTTTTTTTGGGAAGTCACTTTTGTCTCGCTTTATATTAAAATATTAGTTCACTTCTAAAAACACTTTTTTTTGATAATTTACTCACCCCCATGTCATCCAAGATGTCCATGTCTTTCTTTCTTCAGTCGAAAAGAAATGAAGGTTTTTGATGAAAACATTCCAGGATTTTCTCCATATAATGGACTTCAATGGGGTCCAAACGGTTCACGGTCCAAATGGGAGTTTCAGTGCAGCTTCAAAGGGCTTTAAACGACACCAGACGATGAATAAGGGTCTCAGCAAGCGAAATGAGCGGTCATTTAAAAAAATAAATAAAAAAGTTTAAGTTTTATAAGCACAAATGCTCGCCTTGCTCTGTTCTGTGATGCGCGTTTGTGACTCTCCTGATCAAACTCGTTCATCAAGTCATGAAATATTTTAGAAATGGCCCGTCGTTTCGCTAGATAAGACCCTTATTCATCATTTGGTGTCGTTTAAAGCCCTTTGAAGCTGCACTGAAACTCTCATTTGGACCTTGAACCGTTTGGACCCCATTGAAGTCCATTATATGGAGAAAATCCTGGAATGTTTTCATCAAAAACCTTCATTTCTTTTCAACTGAAGAAAGAAAGAAAGTGTCTTTAACTTGTGTACTAATTACATTAAAATTAATAATTTGATACAATGCACTAACTAATATACATACATGTATATAAAAAAATGGTTACACTAAGGTGACACTTACATTATTTACTCAAATCAGTAATATTACAACTGTATTAAGGTTTCGTCAGCTGAACAACCAATATGTTGATATTAAATTGAACGCACTGTATTCTCTCCCTCACGGCCCTCAATAATGTGCATTATATGGTTTGATGATGTCTCCCACCTTCAGATGAGAGTGATGATACATCCAGCGAATAGCAGCTGAAGTGAGAGTGGGTTTCTCCGAGCCGTACGCTTCTTCCAGAGCCTTCTGTACGCCATCGATGCCTTGGAAGCTACTCTCCTTCCAGTATCTGAAATACACATCATGCCCCACAAACAGGTAACATTGATCACATTAAATAATAGTAAAGTCTTTCTGCCAGACTAACTCGATCTAGAGACTGAGTGACTGATGATGCACCTGTCCCTGTAAGCACCAGCCCAGCTGTTCCCGAAGAAGCGACCCGCGGGCTGAGAGCCGTCTTTATCTTCATAGTGATATTTCCCAGTGAGGAGCCCACCTGTGACAGGAGCACACATGCAAAGAAAAGTCAACTTGCCATCAGTATGGATCCAAGTACATTACTTTTTGTACTTGGATACACTCCATATAATGGACTTCAATGGGGTCCAAACGGTTCAAGGTCCAAATGAGAGTTTCAGTGCAGCTTCAAAGGGCTTTAAACGACACCAGACGATGAATAAGGACCTTATCTAGGACCCTTCGAGTCATAATTCGAAAAAAAGATTCGTTCATCTTGATGAACGAGTTTGAACAGGAGAGTCACGAATGTGCATCACAGAACAGAGCAAGGCGAGCATTTGTGCTTATAAAACTTAAACTTTGTTATTTATTTATTAAATGAGCGATCGTTTCACTAGATAAGAGCCTTATTCATCGTCTGGTGTCGTTTAAAGTCCTTTGAAGCTGCACTGAAACTCTCATTTGGACCTTGAACCGTTTGGTCCCCATTGAAGTCCATTATATGGAGAAAATCCTGGAATGTTTTCATCAAAAACCTTCATTTCTTTTCGACTGAAGAAAGAAAGACATGGACATCTTGGATGACACGGGGGTGAGTAAATTATCAGCAAAAGTTTTTTAAAAGTGAACTACTCCTTTAAATGGGATGAGTTTGGAAATTTGTGTATGTCTGATGAAGGTCGTGAGAACGAAGTTTTTAAATGCAAGTTGTGATAGTGTGCGGGAGTTTCTCATTAACAGATCTTTTTTTATTGATTTTCAAATTATGCAAAAAGTGCAAAAACCATTAGTCTAAGCGAGACTGATCTCATATCTCATTCCAAAAATGTTTACAATGTCATTTACATTGCAGAATAAATGGGGATTTGAGAGCTTAGTGATAGAAATAAAATTTGTGTGTTAAAAAAAGATAGATAAATATTATGTATATGTGTATATATCTATCTATCTAGATAGATATTTATGTGTGTGTGTGTGTGTGTTGACTTTTGGTCTAATATTCAATAGGAACTGATTTATTGTGTTTGCAAGTATATTTAAAGCAATATTAAACGCATTACCTGCCAGGGGATTGTAAGCATAGAAGCGGATGCCGAAGTATCTTAAGCACGGCAGTAGCTCGGTCTCCACTTGTCGTGTGGTTGCATTATACATGCCCTTCAGAAGAGAACACATCAAAACTCACCCATTCAAATAGCAGTGAGTAGTTCTTAAATTAGTTTTATACTAGTCCTTATATTTAGAGTTAGACTGTAATCAATCCATATCTCCTCTTACTTGATATACAGTAGGAAGCACCCAGTTATTATGTTTGCAGATGCAGCAGATTTCTGCCACTTCCCATGAGGCATAGTTTGATAAGCCCAGCTCCTTGAATTTGCCCTAAACATCAACACACACATAGTTTAGCAAAGCTAGGCCAGTTTATGTGAGGAGTTGTGTCATTCTGAAGAACTCACCTGATTGTCAGACATGTATCAAACGTGTAGAGTTGTGTGTGTGACGCACCTGCTGATGGAGCCGGTTGCAGGCCTCGAGTGTGTGTTGGATGGGGTTCTGGTGGTCTGGCGCGTGCAGGTAAAAGATGTCCACACACTGTGTGCGCAGCCTCTTCAGAGACGTCTCCAGCTGATTCACCACACTCTCTGGTTTCAGGGTTTTTCCCTCCCAAGGGTTTGCTTTAGTCGCGATTCGAACTGATAAACACATTAAACACGATTAAAAAAATAAATAATATATAAGTTCCGTAATTTCACTTAAATGGCAATTGTCATTTAAGTGAAATTACTGAACTTAAATATACAAGCTTGATAAAAATGGTCATTTTAGAAGAAAATTTCAAATGGCATTTAGAGGCTTTTGCATCTGAACTCTTCATATATATATATATATGTATAATCACAGGCATGAGTGAAAATATAATTTCATATATCATTATTATTATTTTATTTTTATTTTTGTATTGTTTCTTGTTATTTTTAATTAAAAAAATCTTGTTTGTTGCTGTTTGACACGCTGTTTAATATTATTGATCTGAATTAAAATAATAATACATTAAAATACTAAATAGTTACATTACAATAAACGACAATAATAGAATAATAAATGATAACAAATGATGAATACAAAACATCAATTCATTTATAATGAAATATTTTAGCTCTAGCAACCGCAATATTTAACATTTAATTTAATAAACAAAAAAAATATATATGTTTTTTTGTAAATAAATGAATAAATAAAACCCCCAGAGAAAATAAATTATTTTATTTCGGGAGTGTCCTCTAAAGATGGATTTGAACTTGAACTTTTACAAATGACATTTTTACTTTGTAATTTTTTTATTTAAAAAAATAAACAAATTTACTATGCACGGTCTGTGAATATTTTGGTATATACATATATATTTAAGTTTGGTTCTTCGATCTTACAAAAAACAAGTCACGTGCCTGTGTGTCATGTGATCTACCCACCAGTGCACTCATATCTGTTGTTGAGGAAGAACTGTACCTGTTGAAGGGAGTTGCATGTCTCCTATGATGGTCTCCGCCTGTCCGTCATTGTACATGAACGCAGTGTCCAGCTCATCGTGCCCGCGCTCTAAGAACACCTGCACCATCTGCGCGCTCGTGTGCGCGTCCGCGCGTCCCCCAAACGCCATGGACCCCAGCAGAGTGACGGGGAGTTTGGACTGAGACATGTTGCGGTGTTGGTAAAAGTGTAATGTATGTTTTTGAATCGCACGGATCCCGCGGTGAACTCCACTCAGGGCTCTTATGGTAGCAAAGTTCATCATAGTAAATTTCCTGTAGTGTGGAAAGCACTACCAGGGCGAAGGACGCGCGTGGACTGAGGGACTGTGGGGAAAGTGCCCGATCTGGGCCGAAACGTAGAGGACTGCATGCTATTGGTCAGCATAAGGGAGGTGGACATTTGAAAGTTCAAAGGTCATTTGCATCATGCCTTTGGTAAAAAAATAACTTTTAACAAAAAATGAGTGTTTTTTTTTTTTAAATATCACTTATCATTCTTTTAAGCACATGAAACTCCCGTTGTATCCTGAAGATGTCAGCAGAACACAAACGTGAAAGAACATTTCCTTTTGTCAGCATCAAAATTTTGTATATTCAAATATATTTAAGTGCTTTTGTTACAGTGCAATTAATAAATTATGCATAATTACATGCAACTAACCCTAAACCAAACCTAACACTAACCTAGTAAGTACACATAGTTAGCCTATTGTTAATATCAATATTACTAAGAGTTTTAGATTTGGTTTAGGGTTGGTTGCATGTGATTATGCATAATTTATAGTAATTGATATATAAACTAAAATAAACAAGTCCAATAAAACCCTAAACCAATATAAACAGTGTGAAAAAAAGTGTTAACCTAATTTTTCCCTGCTGAAACGAATATGCTTTGATTTTAACAGTCCTGTTGTGCAGTGATCCTCACCCAGGGGGTTCAGCAAACTTTATGGTCATTCATTTTTACTGGCTTAAAAAATACATTTCTATATTCATGAAGTGAAGTCGTGACAGTTGTGTGAGAGATGTTATGGAAAAACTCCTTAGATTTATCCTAGGATACATTATGTAGCCTAGATGTATTCTTTCTTGACATTTTAGGAATGTTAATGTGTTGTTCCACAGTGTAATAACTATTTTTAATGAATTCTGTTAAACATTCCCACATAATATTCCTGGAGCGACACGTCCACATGTCCTCATACCAGCAGATGTTTTCATAGGTGTGTGTAAAGCACATTCTGATCATGGCAGAGGCGTTGAACCCGGTTGGCATTGACCCCTAGAGGAGGATCAGCGCTGCCTGGGAATGTGTTCGGCTTCTGTTGTCCCAGATTCCCTGATCCCGGCGCTGACCTGGTGAGTGGTCAGTGACCCATCATCCTCCGCGCTCAGCTGTGGCAGTCCTGTCCTGTGAGAGAATAACTTCTGATGTCACACGGTGAAGGTTCTGGTAAATTAGTGTAATTTAACTGTATAAAGTGGCATCCCAAAAAGTTGAAAAACAATAGCATTTATTATGCTGATAATATTACAAATGTTGTCAGCTGAAAAAATTGAGGAAAGGTTGAAGTGGAAATGTATATCATTAAATCACTATAGAATTGCCGTACTACGGAGGCGTATTGCATTCACTTGAAGAAAAAAAAATCTCTGTTTTTCTAAATTAATGAGTTAATTTTTCATGAAAAAAAAGTTTTTGCTCTGTTTTTTTGAATTAATGAGTTAATTTTTCATGAAAAAAAGTTTTTGATCTGCTTTTCTGAATTAATGAGTTAATTTTTCATGAGAAAAAAAATTTGCTCTGTTTATCTGAATTAATGAGTTAATTTTTCGTGAGAAAAAAGTTTTTGCTCTGTTTTTCTGAATTAATGAGTTAATTCAGAAAAACAGAGCAAAAAAAAAATCCATGAAAAATTAACTCGTTAATTCAGAAAAACAGAGCAAAATATTTTTTTTTCTCATGAAAAATTAACTCATTAATTCAGAAAAGCAGAGCAAATAAAATTCCATGAAAAATTAACTCGTTAATTCAGAAAAACAGAGCAAAATATTTTTTTTCTCATGAAAAATTAACTCATTAATTCAGAAAAGCAGAGCAAAAACTTTTTTTTGCAGAAAAACAGTAGATTTTTTTCTATAAGTGAATGCAATACGCCTCCGTATACCTTTCGAATGCAGAAATCTTTTTTTTTTTTTCAACTTTATTTGCAGGTTTAAGTAAAAAAGTGTAAATATGCTCTCAGATTTATATAATCCATCATATCTCCATTGCAAATTAGAAGCTGTTTCTAAATGGTGTAAAGGTTACAAAGTGACCCTCATTTGACTCGGAACTCTGTGTGAATAATAAAGTGTTTCCCTTTGAATCAGGCACTTTGAAGAGTCGCAGTAAATCAAGCGGAGTAACGCGATCCTGAAGGAGCTCAGTTTGCTCCTCTGCTTTAGGTCGTTGTCCTGTTCTTCTCAAAGGACATTCCCTTCACTGCTCCTACAGGAAGAGCGAGTGTCCTGAGGGCATTGGATCTCAGCTGGTGTGTGAGGTGGATCTGAGAGTAGATCTGACGCGCGTTCAGTCCTCTCCAGAGCGCGGATTAATATGGACTCAGACTAGTTTGTTTTAACATTTTTAAGTGCTATATAGGTGCAGGACTCAGTCAGAACAGCGAATAAGAATGGATATGTTGTTTTATTCTTTAATCATTCTAATTCATGGAATTAATGCAGCATCCCGTTCTAGGAAAGACCTGATGCCGCACATGTGAGTATTGTCTTGCGCGCGCTTCTAGATTATCATCACTGCTTAATTTTGAAGACCACTATAATGAATGAATATTCGTGCTTTTATTATATCACTTTTACGTTAGTGTAGTTAAATGACATGTTTTATTCACATTGGAGACTCGCTTTGACGCGTATGTTTACGCGTATTAATTAAACACGTGGGATACTGTTTGTGTCAGTCCAGCTAACGGAACGCTCGCAGAACAGTTTTTTCAGTGTTATGAGCAAACGTTCTTCCAGTAACATTAATAGAACCTTCGTTTAACGTAGTCTTTATTTACGTTCTGTAATAACAAAAACGCAATTTATACACATCTACGATCGTTAAACGCACTGCTTGTTTATATTGAGAACTTTTAAATGTACCGTTTCCAAAATGTTTACAAAAATGGAATGTTTCGATTGTGCAGAGAACAGTCAGAAATAATATTTTCATAACTTAATGGAACTCATAATAAACGGGAAACCTATCAAGACTGCAAAATAAATAAATAAAATAATTGCTGTGCAGGCAGTTTATAGGTTTTGATGCACATGAGTTGAATGAAACTGAAGCATCCAGCTTTTTGATGCCAGTTTAGTGCGACATACATTAATATGAGTAATTAAAGATATTCACGTCTTAGACAAAAATCTAGTGCCAATAGTTCGACACATGAAAATAATCGCCTGGAGGTTTAATGTGAACTGAGGAAATAAAACGTTTTTTTTTAGGCTACACAGTGACTAATATATCAGTCTGGGAACTTGAGGTGTAAATCAAGCGTATCATGTCATCTGTTAGTGCAGAGATGATTAAAAATGATTTACTGGCATCACTATTGCTCAATGTGACATGGAGTGTCTAAGTAACTGACGGTATTACAACTTGTCAAATTCATTACAGTTGATTAAAACTGACTATTAGACATTCCAGCTGACTGAACCTGCAGGTTAACTGATGTGTGTGTGTTTTATCTCCAGGCCAAATGTGTGTGCTGAGAAGGAGGTGAAGCTTGTGGCCCAGATGCAGCCGTGTGTCCAGGCCTTCACACGGATGGTTAAAGCCTGGAAACAGGGATGCCAGGGACAGTCCTGGTGCATGGGCTACGAGAGGAGGTGCGACTGATATTCACACACCCAAAACACTGATTTATGTGAACATAAACATCATATCTGATCAATCAACCTTGCAATTTCTGTGCTACAGTATAAAGCATGCATGATGTGTATGCACGTTTTCCACATGCATGATGGGTGCTGTATCCCACAATGCAATGTGATCAACAGTGCGATGAATGAATCACAAAGTTTCTGCAAAAAGTGATTTCCTTTAATGCAAAAGCACCTGAATTAAAAATGTGAAATAAGCATTTCTGACATAATTGAAATGTGCACATGTTACTATTTTTACTATTAAAAAATGGTATGCGGTATAAATAAATCACATGCTCAAATCCTTTCCCCTTACTATGCAATAGTAATGGTGATGCCTTCCCTGCGTCTAAAACAGTGTTCTCATGCTTTACAGTATCTTTGTTCTCTAACCAGACTCTTTTAAGTGTAAGGTGTAGTCAAGCTCTTGACGAAAGCAGTAATTTGAAAGGCATCTCTCGCATACCTACAAGACAGAAGGCAAACGCCCTGAACTCGCGCTTTGACAGCCGTGTGTTCCTCGCTTTCCTCCGTACACTTAGCATTAGTAAGAGACCCAGAGACTCTGTAAGAATTGCCCTGCAATTAGATGCGTTAAACAAAGAGCGCAGGGTTACGATTCTGCAGGACCCTAAACTACAGGGAGCGAGAAACCCTTGCAGAAAGCATCATTAAAGGCTGGATGAGAGAGAAGCGCCGCTGATTACAGAGCTCATGTTTGTGTTTTCACACATCATCCACGAGCATCAGCTCTCCCATTCACTGACTAACCACAAAGGCCTTTATGAGCTCAGAGAGAACACTGATAAACACTAAAAATGGCTGATGACTTACATGTGTATACTCATTTAAGGGTCTTAATCTTTACCTGTGTGGTAAATGGAAAAATACATCAAACCATGTGCAAGAAATATTTTTGTGCCCTTAAATTTCCAGTTACATGTGGTGTGCAATCTGATCAGTATTCATATTAGTACGGTATGTACAGTGATGTGAATAAGTTTGGACACCCATGCTAAAGTTGCCTAAAAAGAGGAATAAAAAATCATCTTTTGGATATTTATCTTAATGCCTTAATTAGAAAAATGAGGAAAACTCCAACCTTTAAGGACACCAATTTTCTTTGTGAATGAATAATGTATATATAAATAAATAAATGTTTTTCCTTAAAATACAGGGTGCATAAGTCAGGGCACCCCTATGTTAAATTCCCTTAGAGTCAGGCAGATTTTTATTTTTAAAAGCCAGTTATTTCATAGATCCAGGATAATATGCATCCTGATAAAGTTCCCTTGGCCTTTGGGATTAAAATATCCCCACATCATCACACACCTTCCACCATATCTAGAGATTGGCATGGGGTACTTTCTTTAAATGCAAATCAAACCAGCTATTAGGCGAACTGAAGTAAAACCATGCCAATCTCTAGATATGGTGAAAGGTGTGTGATGATGTGGGGATATTTTAATCCCAAAGGCCAAGGGAACTTTATCAGGATGCATATTATCCTGGATCCATGAAATAACTGGCTTTTAAAAATAAAAATGTGTATGTATGTGTATACGTAGTGCATATCGACTTTTTTTGCAATTCTTAAAGTGTGTTTTATACAGTTGATTGAACCATCCAGTGTTTGTCTGACAGAAAGTGAGACAATATAAAACAATAAAGATGCTAAAGAGTTCTCCCTTTGTCGTTTTCTCCACAGAACGGCGTACTACACTGCATATAGACAGGTGTATCGACAGGAACACCAGACGGTTTACAAGTGTTGCTCAGGATGGTCCCAGCTCAACGGGGAGGCCGGGTGCCTGTACCGTAAGTCTCCTTTAAATCTCATGGGATGTAAAATCACAGTATTTACTGCCAAATATAGCATGTGAATATCAGTGACAGAAATCAATGCTGTTTTTTTTTGAGTATGCAGCAATAGAGGTCGAATAACAGGTGGAGTTGGTCATAGTGATTTTTACCAGTTTAGGCCCCAGGTATTTAAAGGAGTAGTTCACTTTAAAAAATTTTTTTGCTGATAATTTACTCACCCCCATGTCATCCAAGATGTCCATGTCTTTCTTTCTTCAGTCGAAAAGAAATTAAGATTTTTGATGGATTTTCTCCATATAATGGACTTCAATGGGGTCCAAACGGTTAAAGGTCCAAATGAGAGTTTCAGTGCAGCTTCAAAGGGCTTCAAACGACCCCAGACGATGAATAAGGGTCTTATCTAGCGAAATGATCGCTCATTTCAAAAATAAATACAAAAGTTTAAGTTTTATATGCACAAATGCATATAAAGTTCGTGACACTCCTGTTCGAACGCGTTCTTCAAAATGAACAAATCTTTTTTCGAGTCATGACTCGAAGGGTCCTAGATAAGACCCTTATTCATGGTGAAGCTGAAACTCTCATTTGGACCTTGAACCATTTGGATCCCATTGAAGTCCATTATATAGAGAAAATCCTGGAATGTTTTCATCAAAAACCTTCATTTCTTTTCGACTGAAGAAAGAAAGACATGGACATCTTGGATGACATGGGGGCGAGTAAATTATCAGCAGTTTTTTTTTTAAAAGTGAACGACTACTTTAATCTTACAGCGGTGTAAATGTGTCCAGATTATAGATTTGAGAATGCTTGAACACTAACATGAAGGTTTACGTATATTTCGGCAAGTTTGTAGCTGTTAAACCACGAGAAGGAACTCATTGTCCCCTTTTATAACTCTTACAAAATGCACAGTGGAATTAGGAAATTAGTGTCAAGATTTGCTCTAATCCTCTTGGCTGTGGGTTCTGTATTGTTTTATGGATTTTAGTAGAGACAATGTATTATGGTGAAATTTGCCCAGAAAAGCGTCATGATTTGAGGAATCATCATTTAGTACAAATTACACACCACATTTTAATACTTTGGTTTGGAGGTTTGTTCAAACGATTGTAATAGTCATGCTGGCCTCAGCAACAAAGCACTGATCTCACTTTGTGTGAATTTGTTGAAGTTTCTAAAGCCAAAAGACCCGGTCAATAATTGGATTTCAGCAGCTCATCCCGTCTGCTGTCTGCGCTGGGTGGGGTCTCGTAATTTGCATTGTTCTGGTAACAAGAGCGCTCCTCTAATAGTTTTGGCAGTGAGAGACTCTGGTTTGTCTTTTTTTTGTGCTTAAATGGAGCAGATGGGAATCCTTTGATAGGGTTTTATAGGACGGTCGTAGTCTACATACCCTGAAGAAGAGGAGCCTATAGCTGTGGACACTTAAGGCCTTGGTGTACTCACAAGTTTTTTTTTGTTTGTTCTTCACTTAAAAGTTCAAAATACCGTTGCAAAAGTTTATTGTGAAGCATTTGGTTGTTCGATATGCATCTGATCTAAGGTACTATTTCCACCTGGTATCGAGATGTGTTTTGGTCGATGGGGTCATCGTGAAGAGGCAATAACAACACAAGAAGTAGCACAAACCAGGCAGTTGTTTGTTACTTTCCTGACAATGTTATATTCCAGCTAATATAATTCAGGGCAGAGCATCAGCTTTAGTTTCTGCCGGAAGACCAGCCGGAAGCTGTGAGTGTGTGTTAGAAATGTAAGAATGGTGAGCATGTTGTTCATCTTCAAACCTACACTGTAAAAAATAATAACGGTAAAATACTGTAAAAATGCTACAGTGCAAAACTGTTAATTGGTAAACAGAAAGTTTCCGTACTATACACGGTAAATAACTGTGATATAATTTTACTGTAAAATACCGTTAAATTTACAGTTTTTGAAAGTGAAAAAGAACAAATCATTGTATAATTTACAGTGAAAAACCGTAAATTGACATTCCCACAATTCCCTGTGTGACACTTCACATTTGATGTATTTTTTTTAAATAACTATAGTCCCTCATAGTTTTATTGTTTTTTTTTCTATTCAGTTATGTACATTAGGGTTATATGTTACATTTAATGTTGTTAAATTAATGTTTATTGCATTTTTTAAATTTCATGTGTGTTACCATGATGGTGTTTAATGTTTGTGTGAATGACACTGTGCAGCTTCTTTAATTAAGTATTGCTTTATACGAGTATTCACTTGTGATGAGCTGTGATTGCTCGTGTAACTCTCATCACTGCTGTGTATTACAATGGTCTAAAACAGATATCAATACATCAATAAGTTGGTAAATCCACATTTTATCAGAAAATATATTACGTTTTTTTACTGTAAATTTTAAGTTAAGTCTGTAAAACCATTAACGTTCCTACCGTGTTTTTAAGGGTAAAGTTCTGGCAACCACAGCTGCCGTTTTTTTACCGTAAAATTTACGGTTTATTTTTTACAGTGTAACTAATTCGGTATGCATGAATATGAGGTTGAGAGAGGCAGAAGTTCAGCTTGTACTGTTAGAGTTCGAGTTTTGTGCATGACACCACGTTCAATGTTTTGGTGGTCTGATGATCCTCGTTTTCATTGTCAAATCAAACTTGGCGTCAAAGGTCCATTGGGTCTGTTGTTCTCATTTGGATGGAGAATTAAGCAGGACTCTACGGTTCCCAGAAGTGGTTTTAAAACTCAGGGTCACATTCGGTCAAAACAGTTCCTTCAAAACCCCCTGAACTAAATCCTTCCCTAAAATCAAGTTAACATCCACTGATGGTTTTCATGCCGGACTCGTGCTGGCCCGAGCCAGAATGACTGACAGTTGCATGACAGTTTATCCCGCAAGTTGTGATTTTCATTACTAGAGCCGACACGGTCCTCAAAGACCCCTTTGTCTGTCGGAGAAGGTGAAACGACTCATTATACCTGCGAGATTCAGGCCTGGTCCCTGATCCAGCTTTGGTTTGTTTTTAAACACGCTCAGCATGCATTCCTGTACACCGCTTAACGTCTTTTCCTCTTCTGCGCTGGTATCTGTGGTCTTCAAACTGCACGCTTGGCTTTTATCTCTGCAACTTGAGACCTGGAAGCACTTTAAGAAATGGGACAAACTAATCACTCCTTTTCTGAGCCACTGAACATGGACAAAACACGAGTTGATGCTCACACCAGAAATCCCGCCGTCTGACTGGCACACGTACAGAGCGTCTGTCTTCACAACCTTTTGGTTCGGCGTGATTCACTGGCCAGCTGACGAGACGCTGGTAGATTTGTAGTGGCAGTTTGGGTCTTGTTGAGGAGTTGAAAGGTCATCTCCGAGGTGTTGCCGTCACACTGTGATCTGTTCGACAAAAGGAAGCGTGCAGTGATGCTTTTCTTCACTTAAATGCTAGCGGTTAGGGTTTTCTTTTTGACTCTAAAGCCTCCAGTCATCCGAAACTTTGAAAGTCCAGACAAAGCCCACCAAACTTTTTCATTTACAGAAACTAAGTGGATTTACTGTATATTGTAATGTATAATTTCTAATATTTTTAATAATATTTAATTAGTAAAAAGTAATATTATATTGGTAATATTATATTGGTAAATATTATAAAATAAATTAATTTATTTTAATAATTTCTTATTATTTTGTTTACTTTTTTTAAATAAATATTGTCATAAATATATGTATTATATTCCTAAGTATCATTTCAATATTTATAGGAATATAATACATACATTTATGACAATATTTATTTAAAACAAGTAAACAAAATAATAAGAAATTATTAAAATAAATACATTTCCATTAAAATAAATAAATAAAAGAAATTATGAATGTTTAGACTTTTTACCAATTAAATATTATTTTATAATATTTACCAATATAATATTACTTTTTACTAATTAAATATTATTAGAAATATTAGAAATTATATGTATGCCAATATTTATTTAAAATAAGTTAAACAATATATAAATAATTGCATTTAAGTACTTTTTATGTTCTTTAGGATTTACAACTTTCTAGACTTTTCTAATTTTTTAAAGCAATTTCTACCCAATAGTATGTTTATTTTTATATTTTCAGTTTTCATTTTTTAATTCGGTAACTTTGATAAATTTAAAAAAAAAAACATTTCTAAATAGCTTTGATTTAATTTTTTTCATTTTTATTTCATTTTTAGTAGTAGTTTTATTTAATTTTATTGCTTGAACTTTATTTATTTTATACAATTTCCCAGGCAACATTTTTAATTTAATTTAATTTAATTTTTGATTGTTAATTTATTTTTTAATTTTTAATTTAATTTAATTTAATTTAATTTAATTTAATTTAATTTAATTTAATTTAATTTAATTTAATTTAATTTAATTTAATTTAATTTAATTTAATTTAATTTAATTTAATTTAATTTAATTTAATTTATATTGGAGAGCTTGACATAGAAAAGACTACTGGTTGTCAAATGTTTAGTCTTAGGGCCCACATTTTATTGTGGTGATGACCCAATACAGAACCGAAAATAGTTTATTGTACAAAAGCAAACACAAATGCCTTTAAATTCAAACATTAGAGTTTGTTAAAATTATATGACCATGAACTGCACAGACACAACATGCAAAATGATTAACCTGACATTGGCTGAGTGGATTTAGTACAACGTAAACATCAGCAAACACACACATTACAGTATTTATAGTGTGAGTGTCTGGTTTTGAAATGTCAGTTGAATTTTGTTGGGAGCCGATAATTCACTGCATAAAACAAACTATGGTCAGCATTGTTTATTCTTGTTCCAAACGATCATGTATTTAAAGTAGTCTGCATGGTTTCGTGGATGAGTGCATGTCACGCAACCTGTCAACATCGGCATCTGAATAACTTCTACCAAATGATAATGACTGTGCCAAAATACTGTAGCGTTTGATCGGACGCGTGACCTTTGGCTACAACAACAAAATGGGTGTAATTTCTCCTCTCTATTAAAAGTGAATAAGATAACTACGTTTGCTATCCAAACTATGCACAAGTATAGATCATTTTGCATTATTTTTCCCTGATTGTCTGACTCTGCAACCCATCAGATGAAACTTCTTAGAAAAAGCTTTTTGAGATTTGCATCACTTTGCAGAACTGGAATCCATATAATAACACACATCAAGGCTGCTTTCGGAGAATTGCTTTGGATTTATTTAGGAAGCGGGAAAACAAAGAAATTCTGTTTCTCATTCTAGTCTGTAAAACTTAATCTTGAAGCTATTTACAATTGGGCTCTATTGGGGGTACGCTAGCCCTGTTTACTTCTTTGTTTCTCAAGAATACCAATTGACTCAATGACTTTTGATTCTCTTTTTTGTAGAAGTGCCTTCGGTGCGACTTGAGACTTCCTTCCACCTTAACAAAACATGCACTTGAAAATCCTCTTCTTTTCATTTAGGAGCAAAAATCTGAGTTTGAATGGGAAAGTTGGGAGCAGAAAGTGGCCAGTTATTTTGACTGATGCTTTGAAGCAGAACTGACCACCAGCACGAAGATAACACTGGCCATAAGGAGTGAATGGAGGCAGGTCTTTGTTGCTGTAGACGGGAATGTCCTGAACAAGGACCAGGAATGTGCGTAACTAATGTCCTGGGTGGTCTGTCCACAATGCCTGTTGTTACAAAGACCGTTAGTTGTCCATCCCAGAGGTAGAAAAGCTGTTTCATGATCTCTTCTTTCAGGTTTTGAAAGGGAATGTGTCCTTGAATTACAGATGAGTGAAGCTCAGATAATCTCTCATAACAGCTCGTCTATCCATGATGATTTCAAGATATTTCAGTGTTTATGAAGATTCATATCATGTTTTTTGGTCTTACAATACTATATTTTATATAATAATACATGCTTATTTGTCTGCTGGGATTCCCCATGCTCTTCCTCTCACAAATACACAAGTACAAATGCGTTTGTACTTTGCCAGAGGTTTATTCACATTAAGATATGTACAATGGAAATGCTAATGCTGCTCTGTTTTGATCCTGACTAGTTTTATTTGCTTTGGGTTCAGTTTTAGTTTGTAAATGTTTGTAGTTTTGACATACATGTTGACGATGTACGATTTTATATACGATTTTTTTTTTTAAATAAGGGTTTGAAATTTACTGTATAATATATTTAAATATCAATATATAGTTTAAATATCAATGCTGACATGTTAGCTCATGTACTTCAGTGTTGTTTTGGTATTATTTACAAACTATTATCGTATCACTTTTATTTTTGTAATTTTGATTAGTTTTTCTTTCAAACATTTCTATAATTTCTTTAATATTAAAAATCTCAGTTTTAGTAGTAGTTTTATTTATTTTATTTGCTTAAACCTCATCTTAATTTTATTTTATGTAGTTGCCAAAGCAACATTTGTCATTTTTATTATTATTTTTTTTATTTAAATTTTCTTTTCTTTCATAAAATGTGCACTTGTAGTGCTATGTACACTTCAGGTGTGAACAGTAAAGCAGAAACACATGTTCTGATATCATGCATAGGCTTCATGTGATGTGTAAAGACATGTTTTCAGCATCTCTTCGTCTCGTCTCTTACAGCTGTTTGCCGTTATGGCGTGTGCTTTAATGGAGGTCAGTGTCGAGAAGCTTCTGCTCAACTCTGTGACTGTCCGGCCGGCTTCAGTGGTCCGAGCTGCCAATACGGTGAGTCCAAAACACACGGAACAATGTGCATGATTTGTTTCTTAATCTCTTTTAGATTCCCATGAAGATTTGAGAAAATATTAAATGGGGTCTGCTTATATTAAAGGGCTAATTCACCACTGGCAACATGGGCTTTCAGTAAAACATGGCTGTATATGTGCTAGAAAGGTGAAATTATTATTATTTTTTTTTTTTAATCTGTGCTACCTGACTAGAGAAACAGAGAAAATCTGCTCATGTCTTCTGTTTTGCTAAATAGGTAGGAAAACTACAACACCCATAATGCACCTTGCAGCGTGCCCATTGCATTATGGGCGTTGTAGTTTATACTATAAAAAAAATTAATCGTACAAGGCCACACCCAGTCTGCTCCTATTGGATAGGCTTGACCAGAGTCAAATACCGCCTTGCTTGAGTAGAAAATACTTCTTAGCAAACTTTTGGTCACAATTAAGTGTCGACTTGTATTGGAGTGAGTTATTTTCGGAAGGATCCAGAGCTTTAGAATAGAAAAAAGCGGGAGTACAATCTGAAGTTTTCATGGACTGTCAAAAGTCTGCCGAAATATGTGTTTTGCGTCATCTGACAAACTTTTGCTGACAACTGAACAGGAATTTTTAACACAGAAAGACTAAACTGCATTTTTACTGCTGGCATTGTATCAACACAAACCAGGTTGAAATTCAGCAAATGCACACTTTAATGAAAACAAGCTGTTTAGATAGATCACATGTGAATAAGAGCAGGACACAAAGCCGGATATTAGTAGGTCTTGCATGTGCAAGCACCGCATTTTAGAGAATATAAAGTGCAGTTATAATGATTTTGAATGCATTTCCTTTTGAATGAATGCAAGTTTCCCCCCAACAGAGTGTTTTCTCCTCCTGTTTGAGTCTCTAATATTGCAAGCCAAGAATTTTATCTGCAACGGGCAGTTGTAGCCAGTGAGAGAGGATGCTAATAATGGAGGATGTTGTTTTTTGGTGATAATATACACACGACAGGAAATTCTTCACAAATCTTGCCCTAGTTTTTCAGTTGCTGTGGTCTCCTCTGTGTCTCGTGGAGTGATAACAGACGCTGCTTTTGCACTAAGATCAAGAGGAATTCGAGTGTTGCAAAGTGTTGCAGACAGATTCAATTAATTACGCAGCTTTCAGCAACGCTGTGATCCGCTTGTATGTTGAAGTAGGATGACCTGATGGCTTTTGTCTGCTGTCTTGTTTCGTTTTTGAATCTTTAAGACAGAGACTCCGATGTGCACAGCTGGGAACCATTGGTCATTTATTCTGGACGGTTCTTATGTGTGTTGTTAAGGATGATGCTGATTGATTCGGTCGGCATGCACAAACACATACGAAAACACTAACAGCCACTATATATCATGGGAAAGCGATGGAGACTCCCTGTATATCCGCTATAATGCCAGACTGGCTTGGAAAATAAAGACAATCATGAAAATATCGATAATCTCACGAAACCTAAGAATAGAATCAAAGTGTTTAGCCATTGAAAATATTTGATTTTATTCATGCATGCTGCACATTTATTTATTTATGCATGAAATATATGTTATTGAATAAAACTTATACAACACTTTTTATTATCTAATATTTTTGAGAATATTTTTCATGCATTGGCATCTTTTCACTTTCATGAATTTCATTATTTTCATATTAATAAATATAATGCATGAAAGATATTTTATTGTATAAAGTTATAAAATATTTTCCATGCACTATTATTATATTTCATCACTTTTAAAACATGCATAATAATTTATTTATGAAATTGTTGCAATAATAATAATAATGCATGAAAGATATTTTTTTGGATAAAGGTTATTCAATTGTATATTATTTTTAAATTATAAAATTAAAAAACCATTGCACACCTGCAATTGGTAGGTTGCAGGTGTGCGACCAAAACAAAAAAAAATAATTAAAAAAAAATCAGTCGAAAATGTGCCAAAGAGAAGATTATTTTTAAAACAATATATTGCCTTCATTATTCATAATGTAATATTATATTACTATATACACACATATACATAAATACTATACAGTATTTAAACGTGTACTATTTATTATTATTATTGGGACAAGAGAATACCCAACATACTTTCCCTATAAAGAGCTGCACATCAAAAAAATATGAGTCATTATACTTGATCTGTAGTACCATAAAACATGCTTAAAGTATCAGCACAACCATAGAAACTCAACATCTGTCCTCTGAGGAACCTCTGGATCTGTGAATCTGTTGAAATGTCACGTAAGAGAATCTGCTTGCGGATCAAAATCTCTGTGAGTTGATGAAGGAAAGTCATTCTCTGGTCTGACTTGTTCTTCAAATCCCCAGCTGGATGATTTTTGTCAGATTCAGTGGGTTATTGTTTGCTGATTCCCTGACAGCGACCCGTGATGACTCTGGTGAAGTTTGACATGTTGTGGTTTCAGCTCATAATGAACAAGTGTGGCTCGCCGTGTTTGAGATACACATTCCCCTGTGGCGAGTATCACTGTATTCTCAGTTTCATCTGTCATCACAAGAGGAAAAACAGCTTTTGAAAAGCTCTCCAAGCTCTCAAGGACCTATTAATCTGAGTTACACACCTGACGTGAAGCTTAAGTCCAGGAGCTTTAAAAACAGACTAATACAACACAAATAATCTCTTTTTAAAGCTACTGAACTTGGCAAATGCAAAGGAGAACTAATCAAAACATGTCAAACTCAAATGATTTTGCAGTAGTTGGATTTTTTGCATATGGAAACTTGCATGCATTTCTGTTTCGGCTATAGAAATGGACAGCTTGGATAAAGAATACAAGTTTGCATATGCAGATCAATCTCAAATTTCAGGAAAATTGGATAAACACCAATGCACACAATTCTGTCGTAGTCACGTGTTTGTTGGGTTCCTGTCTGTTTCAGGGTCCGGATTGAAAGGTCTCTTGCATTGTGGAATAATTGTATCTCTTTCTTTTGATAAAAACAATGGTTTCTGGGACGTGAGCTCATGTGTTGGCGCAGTCGGAGGTCAGAACATGCCAGACTGCTCGGTCAGGCTCGGAGACCTCTCATGGGATGCTTCTGCTGGGACTGGACACAGTGACACAGTTAGCATTTAACATTTTGGACATCAGTTCTTGATGGAATGCCAGTGTGGGCAAAACCTGTTTTCACAGAACATACTGTATGATATATATATATATATACTCTAAATGTGTGCTCATATATATTCAATTAACAATGTATATTTTATTTAAAATAATAATAATTATTTGATTATGCATGTAAAACATATATCATAGATAATGAAGAACATTATATACAATTATTAGATGATTAAGTATTTAAAATATATTTAAATTTATATAATTATAATAAATTAAATATACTAATAATATATAATTTCCGATATATATACTTCTAATTTATAATTTTATTAAGAAATATATACAAGTAAAATATTGAAATATCGTACATTATAATTAATATTACCATGTACAATTATTAGACGATTAATTAATATAATTATTAAAATGTAATTGTAATATGTTAACATTTAATAATATTTATTAAAATATACATATATAAAAAAATATATATATATATATTTATAATAATTTAATTCTTATTATAAATTGAATTATTAGAATTATTAATTATTTTTTTATTTATGCATTGTTTATTATTAATTATTATTATATTACATATAATACAATTAAATTTTATATATATATATAAATAAATAAAATAATAATGTTCAATTACGAATTATTTTAAAAATGAGTCGAATCCTTTGAGTTGCCACTTGTTTTCTTCTATATGTGTAGAGGGTCAGAGGTCAGAGGTCAGAGTCTCTTCAGAGTGTGTGTCCGCTGCGGGGCGTCTGTGGATCTGATAGTTCGCGGTGTTGAACTCGTATAGTTGATGCTAATGGAGGAGGACGTCTAGAGCTATGCGGAGGCTCAGTTTTACAGCAGCTCATGCAGGTCATCACATGGACATCTGACAACTGTGAGCTTGAGCTATTAATACACACCTGTCAGTGCACTTCAACTTCTGCTGGACACACTCTTAGCTTGAGCTAGCATGAGCTCCTAGAGACCTCGTTTTCAGATTTTCAGGCCAAATTGTCTCGTTTTTCTTCTTGAATAAGGCAATCTCAGAATTCACTGTGGGTGAATAGAGCCAGCCGGATCTGAGGGAAATATCAGAGAATCAAACTGTGTTTTTATGTGTTTATTTCATGACGCACGTCTGGATGTTGAATCTGCAACACAGAAATAACTAAAAGTTAATTAGATCAGTTTTTAGACAAAAATAAATGAAATGGAATTTATGAGTTTGTAATTTTCTAATGCCCTTAATTGTTCATGGAGAGATATGACTCATCTGGCTTCTCTAAGTTACGTCCTTTTGTTGGCCTGTGTTTCCCGAAGGAATCCAAACTTTGGCTGTTGTAAGAAGAAACGAGCTTCTTGCTTATGGAGACTGGAGGACCGGATTAGACAAGGAGACCCCAGGGACTCGGTGGAGAAGGGTTTTATCAAGAGTTTAGCACAGTACAGACGAGACAATATGCAGGAATGATAAATATTCTAAAGCAGTTTCTCGGAGTGCAGCGGTGACGACAGCTTGTTTGTGGAAATGAAGCTAAACCATTAGAGAAGAGAGTTGATGGAGAGTTAATAGAGAGTTAATAGAGTGTATAGTTGATGGAGTTGATCATCGTTAGTGTTTTTAGAGAGTTTAGAGAGTTGAAAGAGTTGATAGAGAGTGTAGAGAGCTGATGGAGAGTTGATAGAGAATTGATAAAGTGGATGAAGAGTTGATAGAGTTGAGAGAGTTGTTAGAGTAGATCAAAAGTTTAGAGAGTTGATAGGGTAGATAGAGAGTGGATAGAGAGTGGATAGAGAGTGGATAGAGAGTGGATGGAGAGTTGATAGAGAGTTGATAGAGAGTTAATAGAGAGTTAATAGAGTGGATAGTTG